GGGAGGTTTAATACCGTGTAGAGGTAGATGGGTATAAATTAATGTTTATAGCCATACATACAAAAAATTTATTCGGCGCCACTGCCTACATAGAATTTGTTTTACATTTTTACCTGCCAAAAATAGATGGTAAAAAAATTGCCTACACAGACCTTTTCATTTTAGATTCTGAATAAAGCGAGAAATGTATATTAGTTTTACAATGTTGTTTATTTGAGATAATTATTCCTAAGTGGGGAAAAACGTACGATTTTACGATTTCATTATTTTAAATTAACACGCACGACTTTTATATAGTTCTCTAATAGAAAAATGATAAGAGAAATTTTTTGTTGCATTTTGGATAAATATTCATAGAGACTTATGAATGTAAGATGATAAAATATAAAATAAAATGTAGTAAACATATTTATATAAGACATCGTACCAAAAATTCTCGAATATTACGATAACGTAGGTATACGTTGTTTCCGTATATTAGAAATACAACAATCACTACCTCTTATTTCTGTAGTTTATGACTGATTTTTACTTATTTTAAAATACTTTAATTCACTTTTTACTACTTAACAACTATCTAGTGTAGGAGTTAACACTAAGTTTTGTAGTAGTTAACATTATTTGTTATAGGAATAAACATTATATTTTGTAGGAGTTAACACTATGTCAATGTAGATTACTCACTTTTGTAGGAGTTTACCATACCCTCCACTTAACACCAGAGGGGTAAAAAACAAAATCGAGCTGAACCGCGTTGATTTTAAATTTTATTGGAAAATGTCATAACTACGGAGAAAAAAATACTAAAAATATACTTGTATATTTGTGTAATAGAAAATGTTTATTTTATATTTTATACTTAAGAATTTCAAACATGAACTCTATCAGTTATTAGCTAACAGTTACTTGATTAAAACAGTACCTATTTTATCACTACTTACAAGACAGTATTGAATCAAAATTATTTAAAAACTTATTTGGTGCTTTATGATGAAATCTTAGGTGTATACAGTAAACGATTCTGAGTGGAATTCAGTTAATAGTGATGCTTTTTCAACAATACATATGTGATATTATAGTCAAATAATTAAATAGGTTCTATTATTTTCTTTAATAATATTTGTTTAATGTTGTATCGATTTCCCCGGTTTTCCTACGTTATTCCCGGTTTACCTGTGTTTTAGCCCGGTTTTCACATTTACTGGGAAAACTCTTGGGAAAACCAAAAAAATAACTGCCCTAAATTACCTTCCTAGTCAAAATTCTTTTTAGAAAAATTGCTATCATTATAAATCGAAGCTGAATTGTAATATAAAAGTTGTTTACAGTAAAAAAGAAAGCTGTAATATATTTTAACTAATAACTACATTTCTTATATTTACCTGTTTTTTTTTCGGTTTTCAAATTTGATGAGAAAGCTCCTTGGAAAAATGACCCCCCTAAAGTACCTCCTCATACTAATTTCATTTCAGAAAAGATGCTTTACTTAAAAAACTGAGAAAGTCTTCCGATAGAAAAATTGTGAACAGATAAAAAAAAAATAAACTTCTTTGTAAAACTAATGGTCCAAACCTATGAAAAAGAATGAAAGCAGTTTGTAATGACGGCGATGGGCCTTGAAGATCCAACAAGTTGTACATGAACAATAAATGAATACATTAAAACTTCGAATAAATTATTGATCGGGTGATTTCAGAATTCTTCATTTAAATGGACTATATTTATATTTAAAAGATATGTTAATCCACTTATTAAAAATGCACATAAATGTATAGTATATAATAGCTATATAGTCTATACCCTAAACCATGAGCATAATACAAGATTTAAACAATAAGATAATCTTAATTTAATTTATTTTAAAACTGTCTCTGGACAGAAAAGCGCTATATTTGTTGGACCTGCTTTGTGCAGAAAATGTAATATCAGTTTTTTGTATTCTTTAGATCTTAATAATATTAATGTACCTACCATTGTTTTTACTCTGTTTATAACTAACACTTGTATTTCTACCTATTTATATAGGTATGAAACTACGAACCAGCATTAAGCTCATCATCCCTTATCACAATCTATTCGTTTTTGGGAAATGTCATTGTTATATTTTCTAATATATTTGTACCTATAGTTATTACTTTGGCAAATTATATGAATTATTATTATTAATTTGGAGCTAAGCTACGTTTACCTACAACATCACACATTTTTAAATTTTGTTTTAAAAAAGACGGACATATTTCGTGGTGGGTCACTATTGTAGGTGAAAAGTTTAGAAGATAGAGGGAAAATTTAATGTATATCTGTACGCAACGATTAACTATTGCTAACGAAAAACGATTTTGATAGGATTGCTTTATCAATAGCATATATACCTATCATATTATGGTCAAATAATAACATATGCTTTATGTATATATTATATATTTTTTAATAATATTTGTGAAATATTAACCTATTTTCCCTTTTTTTCTCGGTTTTTTACATGTTTCCTCGGGTTTTCCCATTTATTATGAAAACACCTGGGAAAATCAAAAAATGACTTCCCTAAAGGACCATCTCAGTCAAATATTCTTTCAGAATAAGTATTATACTTGAAAATCAGAGCAAAATTGCTGGTAAAAATATTATCTATAGAAAAAAAACAAACATTATTGTAAAACCGTCACTAATTGACAATAAGACGCGTACTGGGGACCAAAGTAGGTATCCAAATACTATATTACCCATAATTGGCATAATATTAAGGACAACTATTAATATAGTTTTTATTCCAATAGCAATACAAAAGTCAAAAATATCTTCATCCGTCGAGTCTTAATTGCATTGTATTCATTAGAGTCCAACTAATTTCGATCTTTGTTAGGTACCTATACGTTTTAATATTATTAAAAAGACGTCCTATGATAATGGGGGACAGTTGCAGCCACTGTTATAGATAATTTAATGTATACCTGTAAGCAACAATAAACCATTGTTTATGAAAAAACGATTCTGAGCGGAGTTCAGTTGAAAGAGATGCTTTATCAACAATATATATATATGTCATTTTATAGTAAAATAATTAAATAGGCTTTATATATTTTCTTTAATAATATTTGTTTAATGTTGTGAAATAGGTACCCTATAAAACATGGGAAAACTCTCGGGAAAATCGAAAAATGACCTCTTTAAAGTACCTCGATAATGAAATTTTCTTTTAGAAACATTGCTATCATTAAAAGTTGGAGCAAAAGTGCCGGTAGAAAAGTTATGCACAGGAAAAAAGTAGGCCGTAATATATTTTAACTAATATCTACATTTCTTATATTATTTTCTTAGTTTTTTTTTTCGGTTTTTCGCATTGGATGGGAAAACTCTTAAGAAAATCGAAAAATGACCCCATTAATGTACATCCCCACACCAATTTCCTTTCAGAAAAGGTGCTACACGTAGAAATCTGAGTAAGTTTTTTGGTAGAAAAGTTGCACACAGATAAAAAAAAAAACTATCTTAGTAAAATTACTAGTTTCTTCGCTCCACTCAAAATCTAAAATATATTTCATATAGGTAGGTACCTAATTCCTAAATATTTTAACATTTAGGTATATAATTCGATTTAAAATCCCCGATAGAAAAATTAATTTATTGTGAAAAAACCCAAAGTAGTTTAATAGTTACGAAACGAATGTCACCTATAAACAGTTATAAAATGTATGCCCCCTTCCCCCGTTAAACACACCGCCATGTGTGAAAGTGGCGAAGCTGGCGGGCAAGCCTGGTAGGCCCGGTCCTGCCCACTTTTCTCAGAAATTTAATAAAATTTTAAAATCTAAAATTTGTATTAATGTTCTTTTCCCATTCATACATTTATATTAATTTATCTGGCTTACTCGGGAAAATATTTCAAGCTACGCCTCTACTGTATGATGTGATCATTAATTATTAATATTGTTATTATTACTATATTATTATTGCATTTTTAAAAGTAGGTACCTACTTACCAAGCTAACCTATCTATAAGCGATAAGTAGGTATGCATAGGTACGCGTATATTCGACTTGCCTACAATATTTAAGTAAGGGTTAGGGAAAAAAAAAACACCGGATAAGGTTCATTACTTGTGTGGAATCGTTCAACATAGCCGATTATTATTTTAGTTTCGTTTTGACGGAGAAAATGCGCGGCGACAGGTGTACAACAACAACAATAATATTATTATCAATTGTAAAATAATCGTCGTCGGACACGCGACAGTCGGTGTCGGGTCGTGTGAGTGTTACGTCGCCTGTTCCACCGCGCGCCGCAATCTCTTTGCATTTCGGTGAGGTTCGGAATGTAAGCGAAATAATTGGTAGCCGCCACCGCGCGCGACATAATAATATATGTGCGTAGGTACGTACGGTAACAATATTCGTCATTCGTCACTACACTATCAGAATAGAAAAACTAAATTGCTTTTTTTTTTTTTTTTTCCACAACAATTATTATACTTCCGTTGTAATATTGTTGTGTTAGTATTACTAATAATAATAATCATAATACATCATAATATCTAATACTAATATTTATATTATTATTGCATACACTCGCACACAAATACCGAGGACAAGCACTTCAAACGTTGGTGCCATATACATGCTTTTAGTGACGAATAATTAGTTATTATTATTATTATTTTTTTTTTTTTTTTTAGTTTTTCGTTCGTCGGAAAAGGAACGCGCAACCGTGTGTGGTACGTATCACGGCGAATACGCCACCGCGGCCGGAGGTACTGTACGGAAAAAGGCCACAGTTGATTACGACGCGCTCATCCTCCCAAGAGCAACCTGCACAGCCGAGGACAGCCACCGCGGGTTTGACGAAAATAATGTGGTCGGGTCGCCGGTGGTCGCAAATCAACGTCTACGCGACAACGACGACGGCTGTATCTATCAGACGCCAATCTACAGACGGACTGGCTGTTTTATAACGTCACCGCGATCACAAGCCGTTGTACATATTCGTGGCCCAGTCGGTCCCAAATGACTAGCAGCGCTATGGCTTTTAACGAGGTGAGTATTTGACTGATCACTTATGTAAATTTTACACTAATCGGTAAATAAAATAGGTATCTAATATAATGTGTAAACGGGGTCAGTAGTCACTAAACAAACTATTATTTTCAACTTTGAGTATATGATCTTATTTTATCCAAAAATCGATGACAATATCATTTAATTGATCGGTTGGCTACTATAACCTTTTATTTGTTTCATCAAGAACCCACATTTGCAATGATAAACAATTTGACAATACGCGTGTTCCTTATAACACTCGATGGTACAATCAGATTATAAATGTAATGTATTTCAATGCTTCTCAAAAATTGTATACCTACATCTTATTACCAATCCGATTGCCTCTCCATGCATCAAATGGACAACCAACAAACAGGGTTGGGGCCTAAGTTGATGGATTGATAAAGTTTACTATCAATGGTCAATCCGGTGTTCAATCATATTGAAAACTAAACGATAACAATTTTTTAATCTGGAACGCGGATTTATAAATAATATAATCAACTTTATTACTTATATACCTATGTACATTATTTTTTTATTATTATCTTTCTAATGTTCTATTTAGGTGCATAAAAGTGCAAAATTGATATGCTAGGTTATTGTGATCAATTGATAGTTATTAAATATATAAGTACCAAGTATATTATTTACTAATATACTAATATTACTTAGGCAGGTGTAATTCATAGTTATAATATGTTTCTTTCAAACAAAGTTTTATGTTATAAATTAAAACCTAAATTTTTTTTGAAAATTGAGTTACACATTTTAAAGGTATTTAGAATATGAATACATTATCTGTATTTATGTTTAAAATAAAAATGTGTAGTTAGGACTACTTAACACATAGTTTTAAATAACTAAATCTAATGTTTATTGTATAGGCTCATTATCCATAAACCAAATTGTTTTTGTTGTATCATGAATTATATCAATTGTTTTCTTTATATTTATATTATCCAATCATAATGTTATATCTGCTTGAAAACATTTTTAACTGATGTTAAAAAGTACAAGTTTACCATACTTGAATTGTTTATTCAAACAATTATAACGACTATAAATTATACAGTTTTCTTTTAAAAATAATTTAATAATTATTATGACATCTCATATGGTTAGTTTACTACATGTTATATGAAGTAATAATTTGTAAAATATTATATTTATCTTTAATTTTATTATTTGTTTGATTGAATTCAATTTGGCTTTAATTGTACAATAATTACTCTACCCACACAGGTATTGTTACAATTATTATTGACAGTTTATTTGTTGTGCATTTATTATGTTTAATGATCAATGTAAATACATTTTTTGGGTGTATATTGTACAATGTATATTATGCATGTTTCTTATTGATTTCTTAAAATGTAATGAAATATGATAGACAAAATGCTGTGATAATGCCATAGCAATAAAAATCTATTGTCTTCCAAGGTCATTTTGTTTTATTCTTTATTTATTAAATGTCTATGAAAATTGTTATTTACAACAGCTAGGTAGTGTATTAAATTAATAGGGAACACCACTTGTGTATGATTACGTCAAACACATAGAAGAATAAAACATTTTTTATAATAATATAAATTATTAACCGGGGGTCTAGTATTACTTCTATATTTATGCCGATGGCATATGTTAGTACAATAGACGTATTGTCTATAATTTTATGATAACTATTTATATATATTATTGAATATATGTATTATATATATATATATATATATATACTGATAATATCATACTGGTGACGAGTGGTTTGAAAGTGGCTGGCGTGTCGCTCGTGCGTGTTGCGCTCAACCATTGACAGGCCACAATTTTGTGGGTGATACCGGTGACACGATGCGACTGAAAGTGGTCTGTCTGTGTTCGACTGTGTTTTTCATATTACTTTACATGTAATTAATATATCACCCACGAAGGATATCTAGTTTGTTCCGTTGCTGTTTAACTATTTAAGCAATGCACCTATTATATAAAAAAAAAAAAAAAGATTAAATAACTATTATACCATTATATCTATACATTGTCACAAAACTATACTCACAACCAGTGATCTTCAAACAGCGGGTCGTAATAAATTTTCTTTTTTAAATAAAAATTAAGTTTATACAATTATATAAAGTACACAAATAATTGTTGTTATTAAACTTAGAAAATTAATAAATGAAAATATAGTTTAAAAATTATTGTATTATATTATGTATAAACAATATTATATAATTTATATTCAAAAATCACAGTATATGTTTCATATACTGGTATGATTCTACGTAGTATGACATTAAATATAATAATTTACGAGTAAACCAGACTAGTAATAAAATAAATATATTATATTATTATCGTTCATAAGTCGCATAATTTACGAACATTGTTTAAAGACGAATAAATTTTAGTCTTGTTATTATTCTAGTCATATTTACGTATCCCTTAAAAAGTTTTTTTATTTTTTATTTATTCAGTTATAACAGTACTACTACAAAGTATTAAGTAATTTTAGATTTTTTTTTTGTTTTTCTTTATGTATACCTTATGTGAGTCGCAAATAATGTATGTTTAAAAAAATTGGTTGTGAGTTCAAAAAAGTTGAAGACCGCGGATGGGAAGATTGGAAATGACCAAATGACCAACATTTTTTTAAAATATGTATTTAAAAATTTCAAAATATGTAATTATATTCCTTATGATTCATTTTTAACACAATAATGTATAAATATACCAATTTTTCAACAAATATATGCAAAAATGATGTTAATATTAATTTAAAATCAATTTTATACTTTTTTTAATTGTGCATGCATTAAATATGTACATTTTTTTTAAAAATTACAAAGTTTTACAAAAAACTGGGTTAATATTAATTTAAAACATAAATGATTCAAAACAAAAAATAAAATATTTCAAAAATTTAAATGTTGTATAGGTTAAATACTTTAAATCTCAGGATTTCACTGTATAACAATTATTTTACTTATATTTTCAAATCTGACAGTATGTTTTTGTAAACTATTCACTGTGCCTACCAGCAGTAGATACTAGATATATAAATAACTACGTATGTCATCAACTTTTATCGCTAGTGTATACGTAGTGATATAGTGTTTAGTTAATAGTTATCGTACACATTTTTAATATTATATTTAAAATTGTTTAAAATATGCTACTAAATCGAGAAATAATCAATTTATTATGCTCAAAAATGTCAAATATGCAAAATAAGTTTAATATAAACGTATAATTCTGATTTTACTTAAAAAATATGTAAAGTCATAAACATCTGAGCTCTAGTCATAACCCTATATAATATCTCTATCTTATCATTTTTCTGGTATACCTATAGCTACTCCTAAATTATCTATCCATTCCTAATCCTGTCCCACTTGGTTACAACCATAGATAATAAAGAATGGATAAGCTATAAGTTTAGGTGGAATCATTCCTAGTTTTAATCAGTAAATTTCTATGTAACTATATTTTATTACATAGGCAAATATATTGTTTTACTATATCAAATAATGTAAACAAATTGCCTAAAGTCAAAATTCCAGCAAATTTGTATGTTGGTTTGTGTACCTTTGATCATATTTTGATTGGCTGTTATACGAGTATCTATACTATGACATTTTTATATTTGGGTTAATTTCAACTTTTCTCTCATTTGGATTACAATGGTCAAATAATTGTTTGGTGTTATCAGCATATTATATATCTATACTCATAAGTGGAAACAAAAATGTGTACAAATCTAGTATAGGAGTGGCCTATTTATTATTTTATGATTATTGGTTATACTATGCATCCAAAAGGTTAATTTAATAAAGATAAAATTAATAAAAATTGTACACAATATCAAATATTTTTTTAACACCTCTCTTTGTGTACTAGTAAACTTTTAAAACAATAAATTTAAAAACTAACAGACGTTTTTACTGACTTTTATACTGTTGTAAGTAAGAAGTTAAGAAGGTAGAGTGGAATTTGAATGTATATCTGTATGCAACAATAAATCATTGATAACAAAAAACAATTATGAGTGGAGTTCAGTTATAAATGTTTTGGAAGGCTGTAATATTTATGATTTTAAAATATTACATATGTTAAATTTTCCCATTTATTATGAATACCCTTGGGAAAATCAAAAAATGAGTACTACATCAGACAGATTTCCTTTCAGAATAAGAACTACTTTTAAAAATTTGATCAAAATTTCTGGTAGAAGGAGTTGTTCACAGAAAGAAAAAAACAAACATTATAAAACCAATATATTCCTTGCTTTGCTCAGAATCTAAAATTTAACTAATTACTGATTTATGGAGGGAAAATCATTACTTCGGATAATAATATAAGTTTTAAATTTGATGAAAAATTGAATAAAAAAATAGAAAACTATAAAACAATAGTACTATATGAATCTGGTGTTAAAAATAGGTATTGCCATTAAAGAAAATATAAGTTATTTTTGTACCGCAAATCTTTCTAAATAAAAGCCCCTATTTCAATCCAAATATTTTGAATTATTTTGTGATACCATTTGAATGAAATACTGTATATAGTTGTATTTATTTTTATTCAAATATAAATTAATACCATTCATTTAAATTTGTTAATTTATTTATTATTCTTGTAGAAAGTTGATCCAGAACTCATATTCACCAAACAAGAACGAATTGGTAAAGGTTCATTTGGAGAAGTCTTTAAAGGTATTGACAATCGAACTCAGCAAATTGTAGCTATAAAAATTATTGATCTTGAAGAAGCTGAAGATGAAATAGAAGATATTCAACAGGAAATTATGGTTTTATCTCAGTGTGATAGCGCATTTGTCACAAAATACTTTGGTTCCTATCTTAAAGTAAATTCAATATATTATTTACACATGTTTACCAGTTCATCACTATTTTACATTAAAGGGTACTAAATTATGGATTATAATGGAATATCTGGGTGGTGGATCAGCACTTGATTTAATGAAAGCTGGTAATTTTGAAGAAATGCATATTGCCATAATACTAAGAGAAGTTTTAAAAGGTCTTGATTATTTACATTGTGAACGGAAATTACACAGAGATATTAAAGGTAACAATTATAAATACAGTAAAACTTTCATATAAAGGCATCGAAGTAACCAGAAATAATGACCACTATAAGAGTGCATAAAAAAACCCAATTTCCTAATTTTAGAACTATCTTAATTTTTTATTGAATCTATTTTTAAAAATTTTTATTAATGCTCTAACAGTTAGGATTTTTTCTGATGCAGTGAGGTGTTTTTTTTTAGACACCATGCTGGGTTTCTTCTATTCAACTGACAATGGAAATTAATGAAATATAATAAAATACACAGACCTGGTGTGCTCATAGCATTATCATAAAATTCTGATAAGATAACTATAAATTACCATGAATAATTTGGGTAAACCATGCATAGAGCTACCACTTGTGCACTTTATTCACTTTGTTATATACCAACAATTATTACCTCCAAAAAATTTTGTTATATAATTATTAAAAATATAAAGATTTTAAATTTTTATCTAGTTTGTTACTTTTCCTAGAAAGGAAAAAAAATTGCTTTAATTTTACTCATATCATTCAAACACAAAAATTACAATTTTGTTCCTTTAAAAAAATTGTTCATGAATTAAGCATTTTACTTCCTTGTTTTTAATTTTTATCATATTTTTAAATATTTAAATGACCGACATCTATCATAATGTATTATTTACCACATTTTTCAATTATTATTGTCACAAAATGGCAAATGCTTATTTTATTGTTTTAGTATTTAGTTGATATTTTTATTTTATGACATTGTTAAAAGTGATTTTAAGTGATAACTTCTGTGGCAGACTAACCTGTATACATATTTTAAATGACTAAGAGTAAAATAAAACCAAGAAGAAATGGGTTGTTGTACAATCCAGAAATATAGTTTTGTTGTGTTATTAACACTACCATTGTTTAATATTTAAGTGTTCTTTTATATTTTAAAAAAAAATGTAATATGATGTATTAAAATCAAAAACTTGAAATTTAATAATTTTAATTTTAGAATAAAATTCATTATTCATTCACTTTTTTAAACAATTTCTTTTCTGTAATCACTTTTTACCACCTATAATTGAGTGGTAGCCCTGATATGCACTTAAAATGTTTTATATACTTCTATACATATTTTATATTATTTTATCTTATATTTTGACCATTATTTAAAATGCCCATTATATAAAGGTATTAATGTATTTTTCCCATAACACTTGACAGGACTAAAAAAAAATTACAATTGCATAGAGGTGACCATTAATGGAAGTTTTACTATAGTTATTGTTAAGTATTTTGTTTTACTACTTATTTTATTATGTTACAGCTGCAAATGTATTGTTAAGTGAAATAGGAGATGTAAAATTAGCTGATTTTGGTGTAGCTGGGCAATTGACCAACACAACAAGCAAACGAAATACATTTGTTGGTACACCATTTTGGATGGCTCCAGAAGTTATTAAACAATCTGCTTATGATTCTAAGGTTTTTTAGATATTTTAACTTCATGTTGTTGTTTTTTTACATTCCTAAAAATTGTATTTATGTAATAGGCAGATATTTGGTCATTAGGAATAACTGCTATAGAACTAGCTAAAGGTGAACCACCCAATTCTGAATTGCACCCTATGAGAGTCCTTTTTTTGATACCCAAAAATAACCCTCCTCAACTAACAGGAAATTATACAAAACAATTTAAAGAGTTTGTAGAGGCGTGTTTAAATAAAGATCCTGAAAATGTATGTATTTTTTATATAAGTTGTATATAATTTACATATTTTTCATATTAAAATTGAATGTGTTGTATAGAGGCCGACTTCTAAAGAATTATTAAAGTTTCCATTCATTAGAAAAGCTAAGAAAAGTTCATACTTGGTTGATCTCATTGATCGGTACAAAAAATGGAAATCTCAGCGTAATGAAGAGAGTGAAACCGAGTCGGAGAACTCAGATGTGTAACTATGGAAAATATTATTTTATACATTTGTTTTTTTTCTACTTTAATTTGCCCAAATATTAAATTAAATTAATCCTTATTTTGATTTTAGTGAAGATTCTAGTAAAAATGATAGTGATTTAGATGAACCGTGGATTATGACTGTTAGAGGGCCAAATTCTATTAAACCTATGTTAACCTCTGCTGCTGAAACCAATCCTTCATCACAGATGCTATCAAAGAAAATGCAACAGAATGGATCACTCCGATCTTCTAAAAAGTCATTCAATCAGAAATATAATATTGCTGAATCAAATGTTAGTTTTTCATTTTTAAATTCTATCTTAAATTAATAATGTATACATTTTAAATAATATTATTAATTTTTGTAAAATTAGGTAAATGTTCACAGTTCTAAAAATTCAGAAAAATCTAATTCCAAAGAAACTGAACCTAAGCGCAGTGTAAATCGTATGGTAGAACATGTTGACAATAAAAAACCAATTCATTCCAAAGCTAACCAGAACCATAACTCGTGTTGGTCACCATGTCTACCCCTCTTAATATTTCCTTTGATATCTGAGGTAAGTAAATAATGTGTGTACATATATATATTTACAAATTCCTTTATTCAGTGATCAATATAATCATTATTTTTGAATGTTTATTGATGGTGAAAAGGTATACTTTTTTTTTTTACTTTTTCAGTTATTTTTAAAAATCCTGAAACATTAGAAATGTATAGTTGCCTAAGGGAGTAGCCAATTTCTACTTAGTATACCAATATTTCTACTTTTAGTTGCTGTGGACCAAGTTACACATGCATAGATTACTATAAAAAAATAATCAAAGGGTTTAAGGTAGTTTGTGTAAAATTATTTTTTGATTTTCTGGATAGTAATCTATTAATTACTCGTTAAATGTTTATACTATAATAGCATTTATTTCCAAATGTGTGTTATTGTTACTTCTATTTATGCAAACACCCAAAATCAAAATTAGGATAAAATGATTTGGTTAGGTAAGTGGCGTATTTTGGGCTTTTTTTGTGGGAGAGGGTTATTCTGACACATGACAATACTTTTTCTCCACAAATATTAACATAGCTTCATCACAAATTCATACCTGATTATTCGTTGATTTGTATAATTATTGTTAAGTATACTTATAATTAATTTATTGGATGATTTCAGAAGTCCACGGTTTACAGTAAATTTTTTTAATGTGGTTTAAAATTCTATAGCATTTAGATATAATTTTCATATGAAGATTGACACTATTTAAAAAAAAAATTAAGAATGATCATTTCATCGTGTGTGTTTTGATGTGTGGGTACCTACATGCAGTAAAAATAAAAATGACTAAAACCAAACCTAACTAGTAACTTGTTTATCATATTAAAAGTGCATGACATATTATTCAACGATAATTTAGTTTACAAAAATCATAATTTTGAATTTAAAATGGTTGTTCTTGTTACTTTGTTAGATACTTTATTTTGAATCCGTAAAATCTTGATATCCTAGGGGTCAAACTAATAACCTATTAATAAAAATTGTTTTGTTTTATTAAGCAACCCATTATTGAAGATTGACAAACGAAACAAATCTAACTCTAAACATTAAATAATTTCCTGGTCTGAAAGGGTTAAGTAGGTAGGTACCTATCTGAGCGTAGTGAGGAATATATTAGTTTTACTTTTTATAGTTATCTGAACATGTGGAGCTTTTTAGTTTTTATTTGGTTTTATATGGACACAATTTTTTTCGGTTTTTCAAAAATGCTCTCAACAATATGATACAAGGTTTATCATAATTTATAAAATATTTTTAAATGCCACTATTTAGGAATAGGTATAAAAATGGTTTATAGGGTTCAAATTTTGATAAAAATCGTAAATATCACTGCAATTAACGTACTATTTTAATATTTTATATTAATGTGTATACAATTTCTTTGGTTCTATACAAATGCACAAATGCTTCTATAATAATTCCTTTATTTTTATACTTGTTATTTTACATTTGGCAAATTCTTTGTGTACCTTTGACACATAACTTATTTAGGATTGCTGGAAGTTGACTCAACATATTACACTAGTTACAATATTTTGAACATAATATTGTAAAATCAATACATTTTTCGCTTACAATCTATAATCTTCAGTTATTTTGGATTCTGTGTGTAGCGAGGAAGTTATTGGTTTTACAATGCTGTTAATTTTTTATTTTTTCTTTCTTTATTCTAGTTTGTGGACAAGTTTTTTTTTAGTTAACTTACTCCAATCTATATGTCCATTTTAAAGAAGTCTTTTTTTTTGATTTTCAACACTATTTTTTAAATAAAACCACTCAAGTGGGAAAAAATGTAGGAAAACTTGCAATTTCACAATTTCATTATTTTTTTAAAAACAAAAAAATCTATCAAAAAAAATGATTTAATCAAAAAATCACAAGATACCTTTTTTATTACCCTTCTGATTTATTTTCTTAAAGTATCATCGCCATAATTTTTGAGCCACTTTTGAGCTTGGGAGTTTTTTATTGTAATTCGGTTATAAGTACATGTAGAGACTTGAAACTTGATAATAATATTTATATTGGACTTACCTAGATATGGTAAAATTTCCAAAATGATCGGACGACTCTTTTGTTTTTTGAAAGGATTTGAAATCTAATTAAAATGAAAATCTCAAAAAAAAAATATGGCACTTCAATTTGTGTATTACCAAACTTTGCCCATAATTATCTTTCGTCTAGCAATGGTTTATGTTTGCTTAAAATATAATTTAAATAATCTTATGTATCCTACCTTCTCAACTTCTCACCTACAACAGTGACTGCCCCCATCCCCAGTATTGGCTCCTTTTATATTTGATTTCTCTATGAATATTATGATTACTAACAATTTTATCATCAACCACTATAGAGTTTTTCTTTTCATTATTTTACGAAAAACATAATTAGTTGATTATTAAAAGGATCACCATCAAAATCAAATTTTGTTCATTACCTTGGTCGTTAATCATATTGAGACCACTTACTCTATTATAGTATTTTGTAACAGATTCTGTTGTTCTAAATAATTCTATTTTCATTTGTATTTATGATTGAATAGAATTAACATGTAGTACAAAACATTAAATTTGCTCAAAAAAAAAAAAATGTGTTTTTTCATTGCAATTAAATTTGAGTATGAGGGAACGAAATTGGAGCTCTGTGTCAAGTTGAGTATTATATTATATTTGGAATAAAGTATAGCACAGTATAGGGATTTAAACCGCTGTCCCCTATATAGAAAAATGATTAAATATATTGTTTGAGACGTATTGTCTTTTTACCATGCATATTATAATACTTAAAAGACATAATATGTTTTAGTTCCTTACTTTAGTTTCTGGGTACAATTTTATCTGATTTTCAGTTACAAAAGAGATATCGGTTTAAAAATGATGTATCTTACAAGATAGATGCTATTGAAGACCTAAAAAATTCTTTTGAGTTAGCTGAACGTGCAAGTCCTGGTATAAGTGACCAGTTTTTAAGAGAAATGATTCATAAATTACTCCCGTCTTTATCGGAACAAAGGATCTCATCTATGTTAGACCATATGATTCGGTAATGTGTATAATTTTAACATTTAATAATACCAACAAAATTAACCCATTTTTTGTTTATTTTACAGGGACAAACATTGATAGAAGTAATATAATATATTTTATTTACACATTAATTCGTCGTTATAGTATTTCCATAAATTTCCTATTCAATCAATTTAATCAGACAATAAATTCATCATTCAATTTAGTTATTTATTATTATTATTATTATTATTATTATTATAATTATTAATCTTTTTTTGTTATACCGTGAATTTTAAGTACTATTTAGTTTTTTTTTTTATTATTATTATTTCAACTATGATTTATGTGTCATAAATTTGTTTTATTCAAATCCTATAATATTGTGTAAAATCTTGTATGGGCAGCTTTAATAGTATTAACAACGAACCTACAGGTTATATGTTTAACACATTATTATTAATATTTCATAATTAATATTAATATATATATATTAATATTATATAATTAAAAATAAAAAATGTTAGAATATTAATAAAAATATTTTTGTAATTGAGTAAAAAAATGCTTGTGTATTTATTTTTTGATTAAAAAATTATAGATATTTTCTATACTGCCCACAAATTATTGTTATTATTTCTTCAATAAATTTTGTTTTAATAATACAATATATAATAATTTATCAATATTAAATAATCACAATACATGACTTTCTGCAGTTTAGTTATATGCTGAACAATGTGTTTGGAAAAACATATTAATGTAGTTCTAACCCAATCCACTTTTTAAGGTGAACAGAATATCTTAACTAATGTTTCAGAAATTTAAGCATGCTGCTGCTATTATTTGTTTGAAGTGGAAATGCATTGGGATGTAATAGAGTATATAAAAGAGATGTGCTAATACAATTGAGGCGTTTGTAAAATATAGAAAAATATGTAGGTATAATAATAAATTAGAAAATAACTTTTAATAATATAAAAAACAATTAAAACAATAGTTCACCATGTCTTTGATACAGTGTCAGCCTGGTCAAGGCAGCTAGGCCCAGTCCCTAGTTTTTTTTTTTATCAGTATAGGGTTATTATAGTTATATAACATTAAATAACATCATTAATATAGAAATATTACTTATATCTGCACCACAATTAAAGATATATAGATTGGGAATCAGCGGATATAAACAATTATAAATTTTCTAGTGCTACCAGTGGAATTATTTTGTACAATATTAGTCTGCATTAACAAATTATTAATATTAATCAAGATCCAATTCACTTCTACTAGGAGCTATTAATTAATTATTTGATTATCATCAATTTTTACATCTCTTTGTGAAAAATGATCATGATGTTGTACAATACAAATAAAATTAGAGACGTGATCAACAATTCGTGGTTTAAATTTCGTTACCAGCAAAAATTATATTAGACACATTAAAATACTGAATGAATGCTGTAACCGAACCATATAAATTACCAGTATCTAATGTTTATTCACAATTATAATATCCATTCAATTTATTGTGTATCCGCTTATAGTCTTATTGTTTAAGATCTATAACAAAGATGATCATGTTAAAAATATTTTTGATTTGCAGTATCCTTTTGTCACTTTAAAAACATACAATCAGTATTATGGTACCTTGGGTGAGGTGTGCATTAAATAACTAACGATACTTGTTAACACAATTTATTTATAATTAATTAATTAATTAACACAATATAATACCAGAATTAAAAGCACACATCTTGTGTCTTTACAATAACAAAGTACATATCTCTTTTAAGTTAAGTTAACCTTATCACTTTATTACAGTTCTTCCCCCTAAGCTTTAAAATGATACAGAAATAAATGTGTTATTAATAATAAATATAAGAATAATAATAATAAACAAAACAAGTATAATTAATACAGCTTATAAATTTAACTTATCTAGTCTTCTACTTCTTTTAGACTCCCTAGGTTCAGAGACCCCTGCTGTCTCTTCAATATCTTCAATAATATTTTCGTTCCCTATTTCACCTTCTACTTGCTTTTCAGCCTTATTTTCTAAATCAATTGTATCTTAACCCAAATTAATAGTTTCCCTTTCCTCTAAAATGTCTTGTTCTTCTCATTTCTCCCTTTCAGCTGTAACAAAAATTTTTTTATTTATTTTACCTATCTCAATAAGTTGGTTAATGTGCCTTCTCCAAACCATATTTGCTTCCTCCAATCTTACTATATATATTCTATCACCTGAAACTGTTCAATTTCCCCTTTCCTCCATTATTTTTTATTTGGATTGGAGTAATCCCTAGCATAGACTAAGTGTATTTCATTAAATATTACATGTGTCATGTGTACCTACATTCTGTAGTTTTTCTGTAACACCTAATTAAACAAATAACTACTGTTTCATATTTGTGCACTGTTCAATCATATTATTTTACATTTTCCGTATATTGATACATCTGTGCACATCATTTGTCATTCACAGGTATGTATCTTTTACTTAAATTGTTATAATCTTTAGTTAAAATACCAATATTATAAAAATAAAATACCAAATTTAGATCATAATATGAATGAATTTACCAAAACCTATTTAAAAGAATGGGGATTTAAAAATTTAGTCTGTAGCAAAATTTAAATCTAATTATTGACATTTAGTTATTGACAATAATTAATTAGTTTGATAATCAAATTAATTTCACAGGAAGAAATAGAATAGCTTTTTTAAACTATGAGCTTAAACATCAAGTTGATTTTAGTATTAAAAAATTAACCTTTTTAAATTTGGCTAATGATATTTGTATACATATTTAAGCATACAATAATTAGTAACTTAATTGTTTCTAATTTCTTATAATGTATTTCATTTCTTATATTTTTATTAGGTATTGAAATTCTTTTTCCAACTGAATGTAAAGAAACATATTTTATACCAAGAATAAAAAAAGTAATATAATAATGCCTAATAGAGGAAAATTCTTCGATAAATACTGTAATGTGAAAAGAAAAATTTTGAAAATTTCAAAACATAAAAGAAAAAGTACAGAATCCGAACTCAAATTAACTGACCTAAATGAGAAAGATCAAATTATACTTATAAATATTTATTAATATTATAGTATCTAATACAATTACTTAAACATATCTTTAATATAATATATATATAATAGGTTCACTTAGCCGGTTAAAAAATCAAGTTGAACTTGAAGATGTTCTGCATTTGGTATGTTTAGAAACTGCACGTTATAGGCTAGCTGTTCAAATTATTGAAAATGTAGTGGATATTTATCCAGCCTTAAAAACACCTAGGGTTATTTTCTTGTTAGTATAATATGTGAATTTCACATATAAAATATATTGTAATATAAACTCAGTGTGAATTGTATGTTTTCAGATTGATTTAGATTTTGCTCATATGCAATCATAATTTATCCCAAAATAAATGAGGTTTTTCAACAAATTTGAAACTTTTAAAGACAAATTAAATATATATCTTAATAAAAGTTCTGTAAACATTGGTATCCAAGGTTCACAACTTCTAACTAAACTTAATGAACCAATAAATAATAGCAAGTGTATAATTTTCACATAGAGCTCCATAGGAATTGTGTGTTAGGTATACTATGTTCTGTACTCATACTCATTTCAATTTGAATACGATTTATAAAGACAATAATTTCTGAGCTCAACTTAGGTATTATCAAATATTTATTAAAATATGCTTATATTTTATATTTTTTTAGATGTTCATAATTTGGATGCAGTCTAACTGATACCTTATTTATTTTCTCCAGTTAATATTGTTTTGAAAAACAAACAATTAATAAGACCATCAAAAATTGAATAATCAAATGCTTTTATTGTGACATTTATGTTAATATTGAAAACCAATTTTTGCAAAAATGCTCTAAATAATTTGAAATTATATTAATATGTTATAGAATGCCAATGAACTGAAGATTGTGTATAGACAAAAAGTGGATAATGCTTTAGCATATGGTTCTACTGCACAATCATATGTAATTATAGTGAGAGATATTGATGGCTAAGTTCTATTATACTGTTATACTATAATCAATCACACTACATATCAGCTAAAAACAGCTGTGAAAGCAGTAAATTTATGTTTTAAATTATATCATGTTTTTAACTTAGAATATCTCCCTGAATTTGAGCAAATATAGTATTTTTTTTGGCAGCATTTCTTTGAAATATTAAACACTAAAAAAAAAATGTTTTCTGTTAAAAGTTTGTGCAAGGATTTACAATTTTCATAACCTAAAGTTCTTTAAACTACATTGTAGTGAATAGTGAATAAAAATTCACTATTTATTCTGAAACTACCTTAGAGTTTACTAATATATTTGATGTGCTTTCTAATTAATTTGATGAGATTAAAACAGAATATTTCTGTTTACAATTATTAGACAATCTAGGAGCTTTAATAAGACCTTATCAGATTATAATTAGATAAGGCTCACCGACAGACTTACTCTTAGTAGAGTAATTTTAGAACCAAAGAAAGTTAACATGACTATGATATCCTTGAGATTGATTTTTAAAAACAATTGGAATACTCAAATTTTTTAAATGTCATACTTGAATATTTAAAACAAGTACAGAATAACAATAACCCATATATAATTAAAAGTTTTGTTCAATCTTAATTGTGGAAAGTTAAACTAAATAACCAAAATAAAATTATTTTACCTAATTTTCTCTATTACAGCCATTTTGAATTAATTAATCCATTAGGGTCTCATGCTGGAACACATAAACTTAGAACTGTATACATTTCTTTTGCTGCTTGTATACCAGCTGAATTTTCATAGCTATAATAGTGGCTGTACCCATCCCTATTATCACTATTATCTTTTTTCCTCTTGAACCTATTCCAATAATATGGTTGCATTTAACTATTTCTGAACCTTCAACAAAAAGTCTTTGAAATTCATATTGAATTATTTCAGTGATTTCCATTACAGAATTAAACATTATACACTTTTATTACTACAAATTGTAAACAAAATAAGTTTTAATAATACAATTTTAAAAGAACTAGTAATATAAAGAGTATTTTGGCTAAATTACTATTATTCTAATGCTATTATAGCGGTCATTTTTGGTTTTGTTCTTATTAATATAATGTTTTGTTCTTAAAGGAGTTTTTATAATTTATAATAAACAACCGGTTATGTTATATTATGCAAATAATAATTAAGTGTAAGTTCAAATTTCTTCAATTTTTCATTGTACCTATAACCAGTAGGCTTCCTTTTTTTATTTAATAATTCATTTTTAAAAAGTTCCAGCTGAGCCTCTTCAAATTCATATTCTAATAATCTATGAGCATCATCTTCAATCAGGTTATTTTGTTTCATTTCTGTCAGCAAATCTTACAAATTTAATATTTTGGTATTCAATCTTTTCACTTTTTTTTTTATTTTATTGAATAGGAAAAAAACTCAAACTCTGAAGTTATTAGCCTTGTGTACATATTATTTTGTGTATGTTACATTAATACTTAAGTTTAAAGACTCAAGTTATAATATTTAAAACAATTATAAATTGTGTTTACATATTAGTTAAAGGTTGTTTATAATGTTAATTTTTGTAAGAATATTTAAGATTTTTATGGAGTTGTCTTCATTTAGGGCTTCATCTAATTAGACTGGTATTGATAATGAGTTTCAAATGTTTTGAAGATCAGGGCAGTCTTGGATAATGTGTTTGATGGTTAAGTCTTTTTGACATTTATTGCATATGATTGTTGGATCTTTACTAATTAAGAGTAAGTGGCTCAAAAAAGAATATCCATTTTTCATTCTGGTAATTGCGACTTCTTTTCATTTAGGTTTTGAGGAATGAATGTGCCACTTTTAAGTGCACTTGTTGATTTTTTTAATTTGTTAGACTGTGGAACAGAATCCCAATAACTTTACCATACCATGTTTATTTTTTGGGTTATGTATATTTTAAAGTCATTTACCGGTATCTCAGTGATTGTTGGATGTAAGATTATTTTGGTCGCTATATCTACTGATTTGTCAGCCATCCCATTACCAGTAATGGCAATGTGTTATGGTACCCTCATAAATTCTATATTATTATTATTATATTTTTTTATAAACCTAATTCGATTTGGATGTTCCTGGTTATTTGATTGGTAGAGAAGGGGTTTTGGAGTGCCAGTAGAGCACTAAGAGAGTCGCTTAGTATTAGTATGTTGTTATTTGAAGTTGTCAAATTAATTAATTTAATTTCTTTTAAGGTAGCATAGTTTTCTGCAGAGAAAATGCTGCTTTCTAGAGGGAGTTAGTGTAGGAGTTTGGTTTCTTCTTAAATGATTGCGAAAACCTGTTCTGTGTAGATTTAGATGTATTGGTATAAATTTGTAAGAAGTTGGGGAATTTATTTTATTAATTTATGGTTTCTTTGAAGTTGGACATGATTATTGTCAAATTTGTTTCGTGTTTATTGTAAATGGTTAATTCTGTATTGAGTGGAGTTTTCCTCATTATATCTAGGATCTAATATTTAAAGTAGATTTTCTTTAGTTGTTCTATAAATAATTAATCTATAATTTATTTTTGACAGTATTAAAGATTTAAACATGTTTAGAAGGCATTTTATATCAGCTCCCCTAAGTATGATGAGAAAGTGTTTTTATTTTACAAGAGCTTTTAAGTTTTTTGAGATGATGAGTCCATTTTAATTGGTTGTCAAAATCGTTCCTAATATGCGTAATGATTTGCAAAAGGATATTTCAGAATCTTTGAGGAATAATGTGTGATTCCCTAACGTGAGAGTGTGAAAACATATACATTGGCTTTTAACCGGGGAGAAGTTGAAACCAGGACTGAACCTTGGAAGAGACTGTTTTCTATTAGGTAACTTTGATTATTCATTATGAGCTTTGACTTGTACTGTTTTTTTAAAAAAAATTGGATAAATATGAACATCTTACCATTCATTCCACATTCTGGAATAATTTTAAGGACTCGGTTTCGCCATACCATAATATATGCTTTTCTAAGTCTAAAATTATTAATATTAGGAGCTTCTCACTTTTTGTTGAAGGACTTTAACATAACTTTTCAATTTTCTTTTAATAGGCGTAACAGGTGTAGGTAGATTTTTATTATTAGATCTTTTTTTGTAATAATATACGATTGGTGACAAGAACTATACAAGACCAGACTAGAATTATACTGGTCTGGAATGAAGGTTGCATTTCTCTAGAATCGTTTTGGGTGTAGTAATAGTTTTACTACACAAAGTACAGCCAACTGGAAAGGTTCCTCTGATTACAAGAAAGCAATAGAAAGAGCACACCCAAAACATGTATCTGCTGTGCAAAGAATAAAGTAGAAATCTGTCACAGCAAACATTTCATACCCGCAGTTGGCTAGCACTTCAAAAGTCGATCCAAAAACCATCTCAACTAAAGGGAAGCGAAGAATCGATTATTCTTAATGATATTCTATTCACGTTAACCAACATAAAGCAGACACTAGCAAATATCATAGCAAGAATGGACAAACTGGAAATAAACCAGACAAAGTCCAAAAATACCTAGGAGAAAATAAAGAAATGAACAGTACACTGCGGATCATTGCATGGAACGCCAATTAGTTAGTACAGCGTAGACAAGAACTTGAAGACCTTTTACACAGTGAAAACATTGACATAGCCCTTATTTTAGAAATCCACTTCACAACGTGGACCTTTCTTAAGATTACTTAAGATTTCTTAAGGAATTACAGAATATATACGACAGTTCATCCTAGTGGTAGAGCTCGGGGTGGTACTGCTGTAATAATAAAAGAGTCCATAAAGCACTATGAACTCGAAAATTATTCTGTAAATCATATACAAGTGACTAGCATTAGCGTTAATGACGTGAATAAAGATCTCACTACTCACTCTCACTGCTATTTATTGTCCACTGCAAGGAGGTGCAGATGAAATTAAGTTCGCTGAATTTTTCCATATGTCGGGTTCTAGATTCATGAATGGAGGTGATTATAATGCCAAGCATACTCACTGGGGATCGAGACTGAAGGGACTCACCCTAAAGGGACGAGCCTTGTTAAAAGTTGCAAACAACATCAATGCTGAAATCATCACTACAAGTAAGCCAACGTATTGGCCCACTGATCAGAACAAGATTCCCGACCTGCTTGACTTTTTTATTTTGAAAGGTATATCTTCTTATTATATTGAGTTATTAGAACTTACAGAATTAACGTCAGATCACATACCAATGCTTCTCACGTTAAGTTCTAATGTTATACATAAATAACGAAAGATGTTGCTAATCAACAAGAAAACAGATTGGGACCTCTTTAGAACGAATCTAGACGAAATCTTAACCCTCACAGTAAGACTAAGAACTGACTAATAACATCATAAAAGCGGTAACGCCCATAAAACCAACAGATGGTAATCATGAGAGTACCTACCCAATGGAAGTTAGGAAACTAGTAGAATAAAAACGAAAGGCACGGAAAAATGGCACCAAACGAGAGATCCTTCGGATAAAACCTGGAATCGCACTAGTAAACTTTTACATGACGAAATTAAAAAAGTAAAAAACGAAACGTTCAAATCATACTTAAGTGAACTTTCTGCAACGAATAACACTGATTATTCATTATAGAAGGCGACAAGACGCATGAAGAGCCCTAGAGCCTATGTAATCCGAATGGAAGATGGATCATGGGCATGCTGTGAACTAGATAAAGCAGATATGTACGAACGTCATTTAAAACGTGTATTTAAATCAAAAAAAAAAAAAAAGTTATGCCAAGTACTTGGCACATCATTGATGTATTGTCAATATCTAACCTATGTTTTGGTGTAAATGGATCTTCCAAAAAAATCGGTTCATCAGTAGGCCTGACAATACCAGTAACAGCAGCATTCTCGGATGTATTTAGATTTTCGGATGATGTTAAATTAAAAATACTTGAAATAGGATCATATTTTGCTAAAATATGATGTCTATTACTAATTGCAGTTTTATAGTCATTTATTTTAAAATGTGCACTACATGTATACACCGCAGTAAGATTTCTGGTAGAATTTATGTACACAACATAAAAAAAAAAATTATAAATTAACATTTTTATAGAAACAATACATTATATTGCTACACTCAGAATCTAAAATAATGTCAAAAACAAATTTTTATTAAATATTTTATATTTTGTCAAACATATAAAAAATTACCTACACATGAACTTTTTATAAAATTAACTAAAAAACTCAAAGAACAAAAATAACAAAAAAACATAACCTAACCGCGTTACGCGATAACATTTGTTTTCATACGAATTAATAAAATTTAAACCAGATGTTACTTAGAAACTATTCTTATAAATAATTCATTCAAATAAAACTGAAGTATATCCCATCAGAAAATCAGTTTGCAGATACGCTTACTAAACCAATGTCAGCTTCAACATCAGCAGCAAAACAAGTGTCGTATTCGGTGGTCTTAACTAATAGAAAAATAAATTATATATTCTCAATTTAATAATTAACTATAGGTGATGATGATAATAATTTTATGATAATAAGCGTCTATGACAGTGGTTCTTAACCGGTGTTCCGTGAACTTGATATAAGTGTTCCGCCAAAATTTTAAAATCAATGAAAAAAATCCGTAAATTACAACAAATTGAACTCTCAAAATAAAATTTTCCGAAATAACAGTAGAAGGATTTTGGATTTTCGTTCAAACCGAATTTAAAATAATTTCCTTTTCAATTACAATTTTACTCATCTTACTTGTATGAGCTTGAATTTTCAACATTGACGAATATCAAATCAAGGAAACGAAAAAGGCTGACTAATATAGAAAAGGAAATGAGAGTAGTAATATATGCAATATCCTGCATACGGCCAAATATTGAAAATATCTGTAAAAGTCATCAGGCTCAAATATCTTATACAAAAGACTTCATTTCAAATTGAAACATTTTTTTAAAATTTCTTTATTATTTTATTATTCTTTAGTGACTAACATGTATGCAAACTGTTTATGCTATACATGCATTGTTTAATATATTAAAATTTTAAAAATGTATATAAATACTGTTTTATTTTACGACTGTGTTCCGCGAAAACCTTATAAAATATTAAGTGTTTCATCATTCGAAAAAGGCGTAGAACCATTGATCTAGGAAAATCTAAACGGCTGCAAGATGGTCGACTATATAATATATTGTATTATATAAATAAATTAATACTTGTTTGATAATAAATTGTATTAAATTGTATTTAATATTTTTATTAAATACCCGAAATTTTCTGTTCGATTTTTAAACCGATTAAAACACTCTGATTTTGGTTTAAAAATCAAATAGTTCGTAACATCCATGGCTTAATATATAAGTATGATCACAACTTTGTGATACACATGCGCAATGACCGCCACTAGCAGTGATTCCCGTCTAATTTCAATCTAATTGATAATAAGTATAATATCACTGCTAGCTGAGTTTTCTCTCCATGAAAAGCTATGGAATAAACAGTTGTGATCATACCTATATATTTAGCCATGGTAACATCTTTACTAAGCATACACAATGAACTAAGCCAATCACATAAGCAACAATCTATATTAAAAGAAAATTAATTTACTTATGTCGACAAGTTTAAAATCGTAAAAATGTAAATTAAAGTGTAAAAAATTGAGTGATTAGCACAATAGCAGTGTAAGTTGTGATAATGATAATGGTTGTATGATAACGTAGTCGGCCATCTTGCAGCCGTTTGGATTTTTGTCTCAAGACGCCGGTCTGTTTTTGTCGTCCGCGTCACCATTATGCGATGAATACGTAAGTGTTGTATCTTCTTGCACGCAATTGTGAATTTCAGAATTCATTGTACATATAACGGACGAACCGATTCACAATGAATTACAGAAGACTACCGCCCTGGATTGAAAACATGGTGTCGTTAAAGGTTGACAATCTAACCTACAGGACAACTTCGGAAGATTTGAGAAGAGTGTTCAAACGATGTGGTAAAGTTGGAGACGTTTATATTCCTCGAGATCGTTTCACTCGAGAAAGCAGAGGATTCGCTTTTGTTAGGTATAACATGCTTCTTACCTGTGTTTAATGTCATTCAATATTATGTTTGCTGACGTTTTTATTGCTTTTAAGCGCGTTACCAGGCATAATTATTGACACTTATTTTAATATAATTTAGATGTGTATAAAAATGATTATTTAATTAAATTTGAGCTCGATACAAATTAATATTAGTTATAATACCTTATGAATTTCTTGATTAGTTGGGTCGAAGTTCCTTTTAGTGGCAATTCGCAAAGATCAGAAACTTTGATCTTATCTGATTTGACGCATCAACTGACAGAATTATTTTTGAGATTTTACAACTAAATTAAGCACAATATTTATATTATGTGTTTAGGATATTTTATTTAATATTATTTCAGGTTTTATGACAAACGTGATGCAATGGATGCATTAGATGCAATGGATGGTCGCATGTTGGATGGAAGGCAATTACGACTTCAAATGGCTCGATTTGGCCCTAATTCTTACTTACTTCTATCTAGGTAAATATATACTAATACTCATAAGTAATTTTAGTAATTTTATGTTACAGTTTAATATGGCTTTTACAATACAAACTAAATGCAGCAAACTGGAACATAGAAATATTATTTTGACTACATACTACTTATCGAATAATTAAGCCATGGTAGTACATATCAAAAAGATATGTACTAAGATTGTATAAAAATAATACATGTTAACTTATGGAACTTAAAATACCATTGTCTATTCCCTGATTTAAAAGTACTAAAAAACATAACATTTGTAAATGTCAAGCATTAGTCCCTATTTTCACAATTTGTTGTAGTTTTTTATGTTCTTGTTTGTTATCCTGTTACTAAATTGCTATCTGTTGTCAATTTTAAGTGCATTGATTAAAATAATATCAATTTTTTTGTTAGTTAATTACGGATGTTCCAATATCAAATTAAAAACGCACATAGTAGATCAAAGGGAACTAACAAAAAAAATTGATATTTTAATCAATGCACTTAACTTTGATCTACTATATGCGTTTTTAATTTGATATTGGAACATCCGTAATTATTGATTAAATAAATTAAAATTATAATGCTCAATTGTATTGTTTGTGTTAGAACCATAAACGTAACGCGTTTTTAAAAATCATTGTCATATGTTATTTAATGTTAGTTTTTAATATTTTAATATATCCAATCATACTTGTATTTTATCAATTGATTTAGATTGCGTTCGCCTAGACGTCGTTCTTACTCCAGATTTAGATCACGTGGATGGCGTTCACGTTCTTATTCTAGATCACGTTCACGTTCAAGTTCTTATTCTAGATCACGTTCACGTTCAAGTTCTTATTCTAGATCACGTTCACGTTCAAGTTATTATTCTAGATCACGTTATCGTTCACGTTATTATTCTAGATCACGTTCTCGTTCACGTTCTCGTTCACGTTCTCGTTCACGTTCAGGTAGTAAGAGTTCAAGAGGATATTCAAAGTCAGTCAGTCGTTCATGATCATAAGGTAATGTTTATAATTTAGGCTGTGTTCATCCATTCTAGGATGGAAACACTTTAATGATATTTTAATTAACTGGTGAAACATAAACACTAGATAAATAAGATATTTCTCTGTTTTGTAAAATATTCCATAATATTTTACTCTTTTTCCATAGATAATATAACAATGGATTGGCCATCAGTCTTCTCTGATCGTATCTGCATGATAAACTACAGGGTTACATGTTTATTAATTATTATATATTTTTACTAAACAATAGTTTAGTTAGAATAGTTCTTTTCTTTATATTTTCATTCATTTTAATTTTGATTTTTTTTTTTTTTTTTTTTGTGTCTTAGGTGTGATTGATGACAATTTTACTAAGGAAATCAATATTTTTAGTTTATTCTACTGATATCAACAATACAATTTATTTTATACCATAATCATAGTTTCTTAACATTTTATGCTATTTATAAACCTAAACATAATTGTAAGTTGAAATAATAATAATAATATAATAATCATTTTGTAGCCTAAATTTTAATTTTTTTTTTCTTGACAACTTTTTATATATTAATTATACATAGACTACAGCCCTACAACAAATTATAATTTGTTATCTCTATATATTAAGGGTGGTTTTTTTTCAAGTACAGTTAATAGCTTATTTTAACACTTATTTTATAATATACAATTGTATTTATTGTAAGACTCATTTATTAAATTATAATAAAACATTTCAATATGGGTCAGATAGGTTCTCTATCTAATTAATTATGTCTTCATAAAATATAAGTGCAGTTCTATAGCAATTTAATACATTCACATTTATAATTGATCATATTTTAAACATATTGAGTAGTAACTAATAAAGCAACTTAAACAACTAATAATTGTTCTCTGTGTAATAAGTTTAATATGTGTAATAAGTAATAAGTTTAAAAATGTATCAAGTGATTATAAACAATAAAAACTCTTATTTTATTATCATGATTTATTTCTATTTTTTTAATTTATAAATATAATATCTTATTATGTGTTATATGATTATGTAACACGTGAAGTTCTAATAAAAAAACAAATTTAATTCTATTGTTATTAATTTAATATTATGATTTTAATTTATTTTATGAATTGGATTGTTGTATTGTAGTACACAATATTAGTAGTATTAATACTACAATAATTATTTATAATAAAATAATAAAGTACATACAAAAATAAAAAATAAATAAATAAATGAATATGTCACCTGGAGTATTATAATAATTGTATTATACGACCAGTTTTTAATTAAAAATTTATCATCAGGCATATCACAGTCAAAATGTAAAACAAAATTATGTTTCCATAATAAACAATAAATTTGATTTTAACATTTACAGGAAACCTTTACAAACTGATGCTATAATACCACATGATTTTAATTACTCTTATTCTTAAATAATATCATTTTTTAATTCAATATTCTATAGGGTTGAACATATTCCATTAAGTAAACATAATTATCAAACCGGGCTAAAAAATAATCACAACTTACAAAATAATATTGTTAACTATTGTAATATGAAATATCAAAATAATATGTCTGATAAGTTCACTAAAATTCTGAACAATAATACAAATAATGTAAATATTGCTTTTAAGACTAATAATAATTTAATCAAACACATAAACTATAGAACTAAAAAAACTTCACGAAAAATTCCCCTTCTTTTGAAAATGATGGTATGTATACATTTAAATATAATTGTCATACATTTTATATAGCTAAAACAAATAGAAATTTTAAAATAAGATATAAAGAATACATTTATGAAATAAAATTTAAAAAGACTGCTGCTAATTCAAGTTTTGCAAAACATATTAATACAGATTTAGTAATAATAAATACTCAAAATAACATTGAAATAAAGAAAAATAATTTTGATAATATTTTAAATGTTCAAACCGATTTTAAAAATAATATCTTATATCATTACATTTTAGATAATAAATAATAACCAAATAGTTTATATTTCTTAACATATCTATGTCTAATTTTAAATAATCTCTACTATTAAAATAAATTATTTCTATATACTATATAAACCGACCAAATTGTAAATTTGTTTTTCTATGTATTCCTTAATTTAATTTTTTTTATATTCAATCGTGTTTAACATTTTGACTGTGATATACTTGATGATGAATTTTTAATTCAAAAACAGATTGTATAATATAATACACTTATCATAATAATTCAGGCGACACATTCATTCATTTATTTAATTTTTACTTAAGTATATACATTTTTTATTTATATATTAATTTACGACTATTAACAATTTTAATAATTTTGTTTTTACTTTATTATTTTATTATTTCATTAATAGTTACTATCAAACTATTTGATAGTTAAAAGCATTAAATTTATTCTATAGTTTATAATACTGCAGATACATTATTTCAGATTTTCTAATAGAATATCAATTAATTTAAATAATTGATAAAATTAAATTTTGACTACATACTACTTGTGGAATAATCTTCTTCTTCTCGTGTCCAGTTAAAATTGCCAATAATCAGTTAGTTATAAATAGGTAACATATATATATATATATATATAAATGAATAAACAATAAAATAAACAAATAGTAATAGCACCAATATTAATGATCGGTAACTTTGTCAAATCTTATATTGCAGCCAATGTGTAGCTGTGTCTATAGCATTCTTGTTCACTTGTGCTAGGTCGTTCTTGGTACACTGTGTTGGATTCATAGTACAGTTAAGTAAGTGTTCATCTGTTTGTCGTTCGCCGCATTCGCACTTGTCGTCTTCTTTATTATTAAAATCCCATTTCACCATATTAGATCTTGTTCTTGCGACGCCAGTTCTCAATCTATTGATGGTCTTCCATAGTTCCCATTGAAGGTCTTTACCAGGTGGTAGGTGCTGATTATGTTGGATGGGGTCATCTAATTCCTCTTCGGCTCTCCATCTTAGTAGTCTAGCCTGGTCTGGGGGGTCTTTTGGTTCCATTGACGAATTAATAAAGCTTTGTCGGGATTTAAGTCTTATTCTTATAGCTTCATACTTAAACATGGGGTGTCTATCATCTTTAAGCTGTTTTGTTCTTTCTAGATCCGTGGTTACACTCCTTCTAAATCTAGGTGGGGCGATTCCTGACAGACAATATATTTTATTTATCGGTGTTGGTCGTAGGCATCCCATTATAGCTCGGCAGGTATCATTTAGTGCAACATCCACGTGTTTAACATGTTTCGACCTATTCCACACAGGGCACTCATATTCCCCTGCTGAAAAACATAATGCCAGTCCCGTTGTTCTCATTGTGTGTGGTCGTGCTCCCCATTGAGTGCCCGACAGTATTTTCAGTAGATTGTTCCTGGTCTGTACTTTCATTTTCGTTTTAATACAATATTCCTTAAACGTTAGTGTCCTGTCTAATGTTACTCCAAAATAGACTGGGTAATCAGTATAGGGTAGTGTATTACCGAGCCATTTTATATCAATTCGTTTCTTAGCATCCCTCTTTCTTAAGTGAAAACAGCATACTTGAGTTTTGCTTGGGTTTTGTTTAAGCTGGTTATTAGTGTAATAAACGTTCATGGATTCTAGGGTTCTCGTTAGTTTATCTTGTACTTTCTCAAAAGATATATCCTGGGCTGTAATAGCCAGATCATTCGCATATAGGAAGTGTCTAGTGTCTTGAGGTGTAGGTTGGTCATTGGTATACAGGTTAAATAGTGTCGGAGCCAGAACACTACCCTGTGGTAGACCATTTCTTTGTTTCCTCCACCTACTCCATTTATTGTTCAGTGTCACCGTAAAACGACGGTTGTTTAGAAGAGACGCGACTATTTGGACAAAATCCCAATCCTTTGTGTGGTAATATATCTTTTGTAGTAGAGCATTGTGGTTGACCGTGTCATATGCTGCCGTAAGGTCAACAAAGACAGCACCGGTAATTTTTTTATTTTCAAAACCATCATCTATATGTTTACATAGATTTAGGATTTGGGCCGTGCATGTTTTCCCGGGTCTAAAGCCAGCTTGTTCTGGAACTATTTGTTGATCGATTTGCGTTTTGATACGATTTAGGATCATTTTTTTCGTAAAGTTTGTAGGTGTGGCATAGTAGGGATATAGGCCTATAACTTTTCGGGTTGCTTAAGTCCTTTCCCAGTTTAGATAGTGCCACCACTTTAGCTTTCCTCCACATTTTTGGAACAAATTTATTCTGTAGGCAAACATTAAGTAGTTTAAGAAGCCAATTTCTAGTTTTGATTCCGAAATGTTTAATTTGTTCTGTACTGATTTTGTCATATCCTGCCGCTTTCCCGTTCTTCATTTCTTGTAAACTGTTACTTAGCTCCTCCATCGTAAAATCGTCCTGAAAGTTGACATTCTATCTCTTTATTCCTCTTGATTTTCCTTTTTTTGATTTTGGTGTTTGGTTTCCCATTACAAAGTAATTCTGAGGCTACCTGATTTGCCGTAACGTTTATACAGGACGTCTGTATTGTCTGATCTCCGTTTAATTTCTTTATAAGTCCCCAAGCTTTTTTACTATTTTTTGTCATGTCGATGTTTTCAATTGCTTCATGCCATTTCCTGTTTTTCTCGGCACATAAGAGTTGGGTTAGTTTTTCACCCTCTATAATCGTTTCTTCACTAAAGGGATTCTGTTTAAATAGTTCTTCGTATTTTGTTTTTGCCTTACAGCTTTCTTTATTTAAGCCGGGAATGTAATTCTGTCTGCAACCCCTTGGAATGTGTTTTCTAGATATTTTGTTCACCTTCTTTACGAAAGTTTCATAGTTTTCTAATTTGGGTTCAAGATTCTTAATTTCTCTATCGATCGCTATCCCATATTGTTCCCAATCCGCTTTTTTGTAGTTAAATTTTCTCTTGAATGGTATGATTTGGCCTCGGATTACTTCGGTTATTTGGAGTTTGAGGGCTCTATGTTGGGTTTTTGGTATTGGGTTACACATATTCTTAAGGCATTGTTGGTTAATATTGTTACTCACAAAGATTAAGTCCGGGTTATATCCTTTTTTCCATCTCGCGCTATTGAAAGATTTAAGCAGTTTTGGGTCGTGTACTAATGACAGAAGCTCAGCTTCAGCCCATTCTTCAACTTGTTCGCCATTAAGGTCCGTTTCTGTGTATCCCCAACTACAGCCATGGCTGTTGAAGTCCCCAATAACTATCTTTATATGGCTATTATCGAAATTTGTTGGTTTTTCGAAATCATAGTCTATATTTGGTGGTTTATATATTGAAGTAACAGTGCAGCCTTTAACCTCTATTGTAATTATTTCGATATTTCCTTTATTGCAGAGTTCTGCACTTTCTACAATTAATCCAGGTTTTGAAAAGACCGCACTTCCGTATGTTTCACTAGGTATCTCCTTGATTAATATCATTCCCGGTATTTTTGGCCGTGAGTTGGCCCTGTTTCGGTGAATTTCTTGAAAACAAAGTATATCGCAGTCATTCTCAGCACATATGATAGCTAGAAGCTCTCCCTTGCATGTTGAAAAGCCTTCAATATTTTGTGAAAGTATAGTTAGAGCCTGGGGCGGTCCTAAAAAGGACCATTTTGGTGATATTGGCATATTTCGTACCGGTGTTGGTAAGATTAGTTCGTTAATCTGATCTAGCGGTCAGAAACCTATGTAGGGGCACCACGTGCAGGCTCTTACCATGCCCCCGTGGAATAATTAAGCCATGGTAGTACATATCAAAAAGATTTGTATAAAAAGAATGCATGTACTCCTTCGATATTTTTTTTTATAGCTATAAAATTGATATCTATTACTTGATGTCAAAGTACTAAAAAATATAACATTTTGTAAATGTCAAGTATTAGTACCTATTCTCGCAATTTATTGTAGTTTATTAATTTTTTATAATTTATTCAATTTCACCATTTTAACCATCCGAAGTATTGACAGTTCTTTTCGAAAAAGGACCCAGGAAGATAAATTTTTAAACTTATAAGTAATAGTATTTAGTTATAAATATTATAAATACAAAATAATGTACTATTTGGTAATAATAATAATAGTAATAAAAAATATTAGTCGTAATTGTTTACTTGTGTGTAAGGATAATAGGAAAATGTTTAAGCCTCCAAAAAAAAAATCCTTGGTACACGTCTATGGCACTATTATAATTGTCGACGACTTACCGCACTGCTATATAAAAATAGTTATATTTTACAAATAAATGTAAAGACATTATAATTTATAAATAAAAAAAGATTAGTAAGATAATGGGGACGGGTACAGCCACTGGTGTAGGTGGGAAGTTAGGAAGTTGTAAAAAATATCTATAAATAACAATAGGTTAATCTACAGTTCTTCTTTTTCTACCAGAAAGCTTACTCCAATGTATATGATCTAGACTTTTCTGAAAGGAAATTTTCTTGGGGTGGTACTTTAGAGATAATTTTTTGATTTTCCCGGCAGTTTTTCTAATAAAAGAGAAAAAGTGAGAAAAAATGGGAAAATGTACGAAATATATTAGTAGAATATACTATGGTTTGTTTTTTCTATGGACAACTTTTCTACCAGCAATTTTGCTCCGATTTACAATAATAGCACTTTTTCTAAAAGTTAATCTAACTACGGAGGTACTTTAAACAGGTCATTTTTCAATTTGCTCAAGAGTTTTCCCATTAAATGTGAAAAACCGGAAAAAAACGAGCAAATGTACTAAATATATTATTATTAGTAAATTATAACGTTTTTTTTTTCTGTGGACAACTTTTCTACCAGAAATTTTGCTTCAATTTATAATGATAGTATCTTTTCTAAAAGAAAATTTTACTGGGAAGGTTTTCAAAATTAAATAAAATAAATGTAGTAAATAAATATATAAATAAAAAATGTATACATAAAAATAAAATAAATAAATGAATGAATGTGTCGCCTGGAGTATTATGATAAGTGTATTATACACCAGTTTCAAATTAAAAATTTATCACCAAGTATATCACAGTCAAAAACTAAAATGTGACTTTCAAAGTCTAAAGTATATTTCTATTAATAGATGCCTCGTTTTTGGACATTTTATTAAAATTATATTTGTGTCTGGGGAGGGGTCCGAACCCTTAGACCCTCCCTCCATAAATTCACTACTGAATAAAAATAATAAATACAACAGAAACCATTATATACTGTGTGTAAACTCAGTCACTGGAGCCTTCTATACTACCTGCATCGCGTGGATCAAACACTCTCTACTGCCAGCACCTCTGACACAGTGGAGTACTCAATCTCAAAAATAGGCCCTCCACAGACAGCAGGTCAGGGCTTTCTAGGACTTACTCTACGACCCTTTGACATATCACTTCACACTGGATTCTGCATTACCATTTCTGCACACAATGCTTCAACAACCTTATTGACAACATTTTATGCCATAAAAAGGATGAGTAAGGTGGAGGTCACGGCCAACTGATTTAGATCCTTCTCAATGGTGGAAAAACCTCAACACAGTCATGAAACTCTAATTTGACAGATCCTTCAAATCTGGCCGGGATAGGACATGCAAACCAGCATAATTACAGAATAGAGACTCTTGGCTTGCTGGTTAGCGCACTAAGCCGGAAAGATAGGGACCCTGCAAGCAAAGCTTAGTCAGACTTAACCATTATTATAAGTGAATGCAACGAGAGACTGGCATGTGCATTTAGACTGAGTGTCTAATAATTAATGTATTTATTTTTTATACTAATTACAATAAAGGGTGGCAGCAGGCAGGTTATCATGTGCAACCTGTGCCTTTTCTGCCTTTTTAGTCATACCTGGAAAAAAATATATTGTGTTAATAGTTAAGTTTTTCTGGGGTTTTCTCCAGAATTAAAAATACTACAAATAAAATCAAAAAATAATCTACAATTTTTACTAGAAAATGTTATCTCTAAAGTTGATAGAAGCAAGATTTCTAATAGGAAAGTTATTCACACACAGAAAAAAGAACAAAAACCCATACAGTAGAATCTATTATAAAAACAAAAAGTTAGTCTACATTATTAGTGTTTGTTTTCAGAAAGCATTAATTACTGAATAATGCTTAAAAATTGGTATGAGGAGAGGGTTCAGTGATTGAAGCAGCTCACAAGTTAGGTTGAATTCAATAATTTCAAGGGACCTTTTTTTTTTTTCAATACTGATTAACATTGGTACCTAAATAAAAAAGTAATTTTGTTCATTGTCTAATTTTCTCAAGTTCATAAATTATGTTAAACATGATTAACGAAACAGTAACCAAAGGAGAAATATTTTATTTCAATAATACCAATTATAATTTAATCAAAAATAGATTAGAATGCAATATAAATTAATTGGGCTTCTGCCCTTGAAAATAAAATTAATAACTCTTCTATACTTATTAAATAATTTTAACATTCACATAAAATACCTATATATTTTAACAAAATAACAATTATTTAGTGGTGTACAGTTTATAAAAATTATTAAAAATAATAATAGCTTTGCTATAATTTGAATTACATAATTTTCAATTTAAACTACCAAAAAGGTAAACATTATAATATTGATAAAACCTGATAAATTTCGTCCTCTCCATAATTGTTGTCATGTAATGTATTAATATAATAAATTACAACTTAAAAAAATTTCATAACATAAGTTTACTATGTCACATTCAAGCAATTGCAAATATTTTTAATATTGCAAGAGTAAAAAAATATATAAATAAATGAGCTATATTGTCAAAAATGTAAAACTTAAATTTTAAATTAATTGCTAATAGTGGCTATTATTGTTTTTATAAAATAAAACATAAAATTACAACATTACATTAAACTTATAACACTTATTGTTTCAACTTAAATGGAAGAATATATTATGTAACTTAATTGTTTAAAAATACATTAATACCCATATACAATAATATTACAAATATTATATGCATTTCATAAAATTGTAAGTTACACACTTACACAACAACCAAAAACAGAAATTATATGGTTAGTATGACAATACAGGCATTGTGTAATAAACTGATAAAATTATCTAAGTAATGCATAAATTGCATTAGCAACATAAACATACAACAAAATATGAAAAAAAACACATGCAGTTAACTGATAATCTAAAAAAATATAAACTTATTTTACAGTAAAAAAAATATAATTATTTCATAATATTAAAAATACTTAATAATTTAAAAAAATAGTAAGCTCACTTATGTTTACCAATTTTGTAAACTAGGAACTCAAAATTAACATAATATGTACCTATGTGACTTGTGGACATATTTGTTATTTTGAATGAGTTACCCAGTAATTTTAAAATAAAATATAAAATATGTTAAAATTATATTTTTGTATTCTTTATACATCAAATGGCTGTTTTTCGACCATAACAAATGTATGGTGTCTGCAAGATTTTTGGAGAAGTTTCCATTACACGCAATAATAACTTGTCCAAATATTGTTCTAGTTCAACTTTTTGTTTTATTTCTTCACATAGATTGGATTGTAGTTGGATAACCATTTCAATCAAATCCTAAAAGCCAGATTTATAATTATTTATACTTTTTTAAAAAAGGCAATAAATATATTCTGCTTACATCTCTGGATTTGCCTTCAAACTTTTGGAGAATTTCTGATGAATGTTTTGAATGTGTATTTTGATTATGACTGGAATCTTTTTCTTTACCAATTATAATACGCTCATAGGCTTTGTTCCATGAAGATAATGTAGATTTACTTTCTAGAATGTTCAAAACAGACAAATGTACAACATAAAATTATTAATAGTATAAATTTATGGAACTAAAACTAAATAGTTTTAGCATTCTAAATTACTCTGTGAAGTCTCATTTTCTTGATTGATTTCTTTAGTGTTGGAAGACCGATCATCAAGAGGTGAAATTGTATTTTTTTTTTGCACTTTAGGACTATTTTTAAGCGAAGGAGTTGGGCTTTTGTCTTTAGTTCTATCATGGTTGATAGGTATTTGGTCAGTATCTTTCAATTTAGATTTCAACGTATCAGCAAGTTTTAATGTATTATCTGAAAATACTTATATTAACAACACTATTCCCAGTGCAATATTAATGTTAAACAAAGTAATTTTTTTCATTTTTATACCTTTGTTTCGATAAAGCTTTTTCTGCCATTCATCTTGTGAGACTGGGGATCGATTCATAATAGGAGATTTATTCAATATATCTGAATTACCAACACTTTCAAATGATCCATGTAAATTTAAAGTAATAGGGGAAGAGCTATTAAGACCTTTGTGTTCAGACTGAACATTAGTTTCCAAAGAACAAGCTGAACCTTTATGAGATAACTCTTCAAGCTAAATAAATAAACAATATACATATATATAATAATAAATCTAGGTAAAAATATCTGGAAAAAACATGTCTAGTGGATGAAAATATCCAAAAAATAAAAATTATATTTTAATGTGTAATATATAATTTTAAATATTGATACATAACTATGTATAATATAATTTTACATATAACAGTAAAAAGAAAATTACAAACAATAATTTTAAGTCAAGATTTTTCCACTGTAGTGTAGGTAGATAACAAAAATTATAAAAAACCAATGCAAGTAAATTTTGTTACATTTTATTTTTTTATTTTTTTTATTATATACTATAATATATTACACATTATTTCGATTTGTTGAGAATTATTATTGTTATATCAAACATGTATCAATTTTATAATATATTAAAATTAATTAATTAAATAATATATTTTTAGAGCATTTTTTCCTAGAACCATAATAATATTATAGAAATGTATTATAGTTACTGTAAATTCGTCATCATCACTAATAACACCCGGATCACAGTCAAATCTTTCTTGTGAAGATTTTTGTTTGTTTGGATTTTCCACACTTAAATTAATGCTAGATGAAGATATTTCTTGTATCTTTTTTTCTCTCTTTATTTTACTGGCTAAAATTTAAAACAATACATTAGTCACTATGCAAATAAAAACATTTCAACAAATAATTACTTATTGTTTTGGCTAGTTTTTTGAATGATTTTTTATCAACACTGCTTAGACTGAGTAAACTTCCATCTAAAAAAGTTATAAATATATAATTATTATCGCTGTATAATCAATAAACAGCCAAAAATTATAATTATAAATTGATTACATACAATATTATAATCAGAGCTCTGATTTTATAGCACTGAAAATAACTGAAACATGTGCTATAATATGACCTAACAAATATTAAAATAAACTGTAATTTGCCACAAAAACACAAAAAAATTACAAAAAATAAAATATATTTATTTTTCTAAACATATAAATACAACCTATAAGAATTCATAGGTAGCTGTAAATAAGGTCATAGTGATAGGTATTTTTCTTATGATCCACATAAATGACAGATTTTATTTATTTATGAAAAAAAAAAATGTATATTATGCATTTTAGAAAAAAATATCAACATAAAATTATAATATTAGGAAAATACTAAATATCAATGAATTTATAAAAACAGTAAAACCTATCTTAGTAGATGGTCTAGTTGGTCTATTTTTAATACTAATTATAATAGGTTACATGTCCTATATAATAAATATCAAGTTAATTGGGAGGACGGAAATAACCAGAAACATAAAGACTATTCAATGATTAATCAATTAATCCAATTGAAGCAGATGATGAACAATTAGATGATGAAAAACAAGAACACTGGACAAATAAATTTCAATTATATTGGTTTTTTTAACTATTATACTGTATATACATATGTACATATTCTTTGTACTAAATAGTAAATAATAAATATATAAATAATTTCATAAAAAATTTACATAATATCTAAGTTTTACTAAATACATACAATGAAATCTGTCTATACTAGACACTTTTTATGATCTCCTAACTGTCCAGTATACATAGGTTTCACTGTATATTAAAAGAAATATATTTATAAGCATATTAATATACCGTGTCCTGTTTTAAATGTACCACTAAATATCTCAGCCCGATAATCTTAGATTGAAATACGGTTTGCTGCAATAGCTAAGGGGTACTGAAGTACACATTTAAGCACAAATTTCAAATTTTTAACTCTTGTAGTATGCGCATGCGCAATACAAATTTTTTTTTTTAAATTGCAANAATTTTGATCCATTGACCATAGTTCTAAACCTAAAATTGAATGAGTTACAGCTTTTTGAAATTTTAAAATAATTAAATTTTTTCGATTTTACCAAAAACATTACACTCTTGAATTTGATACAAAAGTAAATCATTTTTAAACTAAAATGAAATGCATTTAAATAATTTAATACAAAATTACCTAAACAAATGTATAGCTAATTTAAATTTAATTAATTTAAAAATAAATTTACCAACTAAATTGACAATGACGTAATTTGTGTTATTATTGTGCGATAAAAGTTATTGACATTTTTCCAGTTTTATTATTAGTACTTTGATAATAGTAGATTATTTTTATAACATTCAATTAAATCCTCACTCATCTTTAAGACATGTTGCTAGATAATTTGGCTTTTCAAAAACAAAGGTACACAAAATATTCAAAAAATACAAGTTACATCCTTATAGGGCTGATCTAGTTCAGCATTTACACCAAGGTGATAACGAACGTAGATTAACATTTATTGCATGAATAACAACATGTACAAATAACGACCCATTATTTTTAAATTACATTTTGTGAACCGATGAATCAAAGTTTACCAATAATGGTGTTTTAAATAAGCAGAATAACCGTTATTAGTCAAACGGAAATCCACATTGGGCAGTTAATACAAATTATCAAACAGTATGGGGCACAAATGTGTGGTGCGGATTATTAGGAAGAAATTTAATAGGTCTACATTTTTATGACGGTACTCTTAATGGAAGACGTTATTCAGATTTCTTAACTTTGCTACCGACGATGTTGGAANGCTAGATAATTTGGCTTTTCAAAAACAAAGGTACACAAAATATTCAAAAAATACAAGTTACATCCTTATAGGGCTGATCTAGTTCAGCAAAAATAAAATTTGTATTGCGCATGCGCATACAACAAGAGTTAAAAATTTGAAATTTGTCCTTAAATGAGTACTTTAGTACCCCTTAGCTATTGCAGCAAACCATATTTCAATCTAAGATTATCGGGCTGAGATATTTAGTGGTACATTTAAAACGAGACACACGGTATATAACATATACATACATATACATCATGCAAAACAAATATATACATATATACATATATAAAAGAAATAACCAAACTGTTAAAGTCTAAAATATTATAAAGGTTGTGTGTAAATAGGATCAGTTTTGATTTTTAAAAAAACCTCCATCAAAGTAATACTTGGATGTTTGTTTGTTTATTTATTTTGCATGATAAGTATCATTTGCATCAAGTAATAGAAGAGCAAAAACAGAAAAATAATACTGAATATAAAATTAAAATGAGGAATACATAGGAAAGAACCAATTTTATTAAAAGAAATTATACAACTTTTCTTTGAGTCATTATAAGTATATATCTCTACTATTAATTTTATAGTTATTATTATTTTAATTATTGTAATATGAATTAATTCTAAAAAATTCTAAACAATAATAATAATGTTAGTCTATTTTAAGACTAGTAATAATTCAATGAACTAAATAAATTATAGTGCCAAGGATTACATGAAAAAACTACTTTTGATTTACTTTAATACAATAATTGCAATACATTTTATATAGGTAAAACTAATAGGAACTTTAAAACTAGATACAAAATCATATCTCTGAAATAGAATTAAAGGAAATTTTTTCTTATTCTAATTTTGTAAAACATGTTTTAAAATAAAATAATCATACTGTTAATTTTGATAAACTAAAACAACAATTACATTAATTTTCTATTGGAAGAAATGAATATTTATTAATGTAATTAAGGAAAATAAGTTTAAAAACATCTTCTATGTACAGACATAGGTTTGTGATGATTTTTTAAATTAAAACTAGATATATATAAACGCAACCTTTATAAAACTTTAGGCTTTATTTTGCCTTTTTTCTATAGACCTACATTTATTTTGAATATTATGCTATTGTTATCAGTATTGTACTCAAAAATAAATTAGTAGGTACATGCCTCATATAAAAATCAAAAATAATGTGCAGTACTACACTATTAGTGCAATACAAAATCATAAAAGTACAGTATGAAATTAAAAAGTGTGTTGACTATTCTAGAGTTATATTGTAATTGTTTTCTGATTATTATGAAGGCATGGGTGAATACCCAAAAGTAAACAATCAAGGTGATGACCCTTTTTTTTTGCTTATAAGTATTTTGAAAGGGGCATGCATTTAAAAAATATAAAGCAGTATAAAGCTTTATTTATTTTAGGCCCTGATGTCTTAATATTATTATTATAGAATTATTACTTAGTTTTAGTTATTCAAAACATCATAAAATAATAAATCAAAAATATTTGTATAAATTAATAATTTATTTCAATAAAAATACTTCACATTTTTCTTTAGGGGATTCAAAGTAGTGATGTGACTAACTTTTCTGGATCTTTTCTCATTTCCAGTTATATGTTTAACTATCTAATTATTTATATATTGTTCAAAAATCCATTCACTCAAGGGTGGACTATTTATATAAATAAAATTCAGTTGAAGGCATGAAAAAAAAAATTATCATGCATGTACCTGTGGATTTCATTTTTGGGTTGTATAGACATATTGTTTAGAAAAATAAGGAGTACATGGTGTTGTAACTTAACTACACTACTGATTATTATCTTTGTTAAATTTCTTACTTTTATTATAATAAATATAGGAATAATATTTAAAAATGTATACTAACTAAAACTATGTTTAGTAACTCTATTTGTAATATATGTCAATGTGAATAATATAGAGTCCTAGTTTAATTTTGTTTTAATTTTTTTAAGTGGCCAAAGGTATACATCTCATTTGTTCAATACAGTTATTAATGTTGGAGACTAGTTAATAGTGTCAAAGGTTAGGCCCAAAATCAAGATAATTGGATATAATTCCCAGTCCAGCAATCTGATTATTAGCACTTTTATCTAGAGTTAACACTAATTATAATTAAAATATATGATAACAAAATTAAGAAGTTCCACAGACAAATTTATAACAAATAAACCCAATATAATTTTTTAACTGAATAACAATCCATCCAGAGCATACAAAAGTAGAAAATGATAAAGATCACTAAGAAGTTCAAATTGACAAATCCAAAACTGAGATTAAGAATACACAATATGTCTACTCAGTATTCCTACAAGAGATTTTCAAAGCAAAGTATCTCATCAAATCAATTGATGATGAAGAAAATTTAAAAATAGCTAGAATTCTTGATCATCAAAACAATCAAATGAATGTTATTAAAAAATTCACTTGAAGAGTATTATTATACTTGAATATATTTTTAGCATCAAACAACTTCAAACCAGGTTTAATACAAAATATAATTTTCTTCACACCACAAATTATTACCAAAAATATACACCAAATTTGAAATTGAGTCAAGTAATTTTAAAATGTATTCAGAATTTCTGAATTTGGAATCACTTCTAATAGAAAGTTATAGAAGTTTTCAAAATAAAATGTCATAACCAAATAAAAAAGAACCTCTAAATTCAGCTATTGAGGCATACATTGAATGTATGTTTCAACGTATAAATATGTTAAATATGAATATTATCTAAATTTAATATATAATTTCTTTTGAAATTATTGAGGACATTACTGGTTTTTTGACTTCTACCAACAGAACACAAATTCTTCACAATGAAAATAAATCAATGATTGCAGAACCATCGCGAGTTACATATTTTAAGTCTTCTTTTCAAACTTTGAAAGTCAATAATAAACACAAATTAAATTATTTTTAGATATGTTAGTTATGTTATATAGATAGATATGTTAGTTAAATATGTTAGTACAAGCTTTGACTTTTAAGATCGAACAAAACCAAACTAAACTTTCTCAAACATTAAAAAAGTAAAAAGGTTAGGTTAGGTTAGGTCAAAAATCTAGATTCTCGAACAGCTCCACTCTGTGATTTAGGATTCAGGGATCCACTAATACGAAAAAAAATAAAATTTTTCTTAACAAAGCCACTCTAGCCCACCACAGAACATGCAGAATTTTAAAACCAAACTAAATACCTAATAGTTTAGTTTGATTATTTACAATTTTCAGTTCAGAAATCGAACAGTTCATCATATCTGTAATTATTTTTACACCAATATTATATATAATCAGTATACGAGTACATACGAGGGCGTACCCCCCAAAAAACCGAACTATTTTTGTACAAAGTTATTTATTTAATTTTTTTACAAAAAAACATTTAATCTCCTTCAAAGTACTCTCCATTGGAGTTAATGCACTTGTCCAATCTTTTGTTCCAATTTTCGAAGCAATTTTTAAACTCATCTTTTGTGATGCCTACCAACGCCTCCGTTGTTTTTTTTTAACTTCATCAATGTCCGCGAAACGCTTTCCTTTCATGTTCCTTTTCATTCTGGGGAATAAAAAAAAGTCACAGGGAGACAGATCGGGTGAATAGGGTGGATGGGACACAGTGGTCATATCATTTTTGGTCAAAAACCGCTGTACAGAAAGGGCTGTGTGAACAGGAGCATTGTCGTGATGAAAAAACCAGTCTCCTGACTGCCACAAATCAGATCTTCGACTCAAACTGTTGCATAATCTTTTTAACACCTCTAGGTAAAATGCCTGGTTAACTGTCTGACCAGGTGGAACAAACTCCGAATGGACGACTTCTCTCACATCAAAAAAACAAATGAACATTGTCTTAATGTTTGACCTCACTTGACGAGCTTTTTTAGGGCGAGGCGATGCTGGAATCTTCCATTGGCTCGATTGTTGCTTGGTTTCAGGATCGTATCCATAGCACCATGATTCATCACCTGTAATGACCTTGGAATAGAAGTTCCGGTCATTTTGGAATTCTTCTTTCAAAGAAGAGCATGATTCCACGCGGCCTTGTTTTTGCTGCTCAGTTAGCAGTCGAAGNGTACTCTCTATTGGAGTTAATGCACTTGTCCAATCTTTTGTTCCAATTTTCGAAGCACTTTTTAAACTCATCTTTTGTGATGCCTGCCAACGCCTCCGTCTTTTTTTTTTTAACTTCATCAATATCCGCGAAACGCTTTCCTTTCATGTTCCTTTTCATCCTGGGGAATAAAAAGAAGTCGCAGGGAGACAGGTCGGATGAATAGGGTGGATGGGACACAGTGATCATATCATTTTTGGTCAAAAACCGCCAGAAAGAAAAAAAAGACCGTACCGAAAGAAAAACCGTACAGAAAGGGTTGTGTGAGCAGGAGCATTGTCGTGATGAAAAAACCAGTGTCCTGACTGCCAAAAATCAGGTCTTTTTCGCCTCAAACTGTTGCGTAATCTTTTTAACAACTCTAGCCTGGTTAACTGTCTGACCAGGTGGAACAAACTCCAAATGGACGACTCCTCTCACATTAAAAAAACAAATGAGCATTGTCTTAATGTTTGACCTCACTTGACGAGCTTTTTTAGGGCGATGCTGGAGTCTTCCATTGGCTCGATTGTTGCTTGGTTTCAGGATCATATCCATAGCACCATGATTCGTCACCTGAAATGACCTCGGGGAAAAGAAGTTTGAGTCATTTTGGAATTCTTCTTTCAAAGAAAAGCATAATTCCACAAGGCCTTGTTTTTGCTGCTCAGTTAGCAGTCGAGGAACAAATTTTGCAGCCACCCGTCTCATCCACAAATCTTCACTTAAAATTCTCTGTACTGAACTCCATGTCACACCAGATCTCTCCACTACTTCTTCAATGGTTTGCCTTCGATCTTCCAGGATAATTTTGTGAATTTTTTCTTTGGTTTACGCCAACGAAGGGCGAGCTTGGTCGTCTATCGACATTTCACCACTTTTGAAACGGGAAAACCACTCAAATANGCTGTGCGCTGTTCGCGCAAATCAGCCATTACAAAAAATAACTTTTAAAAAAAATATCACACCAACGTAACACAACCTTCCACGATGACATATTGAATTTTATTGGCATATTGGCATATTGAATGTTGAGAAGTATATTTATAAGCTCCTATCGGAAAAAAATTGGTACTACTAAAATTCTGTCCCATACAACATCAGTTCGGTTTCTTTTGGGTACGCCCTCGTATGATGTTTCAGTAACTATTTACTCTTAAATTAAATTTATTTTTACAGATATTATACAGTTTTTTTTATTAAATATTAAGTTTTAAAAAATTGACTTGTGATGTTTCTACAATCATATATTCAAATATAAAAAACTTATAAGTATGCATAGACAATTAAAATCAACCCAGATAATGTTATCGGACCCCTTTGCAAAAAAAAAAAAAAAAAAGACAGATAGACTTTGTACTACAAAACCACTACCATAACACTTTGCAATACATCACTTATTATTTTGTTATAATATATCCTATCTAGATAAACTTATTAATGTAATATAGACATTTTTTTTTTTAAGATTAATGATAGATTTTTTAAAAATTTTAATATAAAAATGTAGGACTCCAGTACACCCTTTCCATCAAAACAAAAAAATTATTTTCATATACACTATGAGTTTATACTTTGAAGCAATACAATACAGTATGTTTATAACTTATTAAAAACGTATATCCTCTTGAAAATTGTTCCTCAAATATGTTCCTACTTAATAAACTCAATAATGGTAAAAAGACTAATACAAATAAAAATTTAAAAAAATATATATTCAAATTTAAACTTACTTATATTTGAAGATAATTGTCCAACAGATAATCTGTGTTTTTCTTTCTTACTTAAATCAAGCAGACTACCAGATTTAACTGTAAATGCAATTTTAACCTGTAATTCACCACGATTTTTATTGTCTTGTCCATTTTTCCCTTTTAATGGATACCACCTAAAAGTATAATAATTCAGAAATTAAATTAAAGTACAACTTTTCAATTATTATTATTTTTTTAAAATCATATAAATAACATAAGTCGGTATATCTATTATATACCTATTACAAGTAGAAGTTCAATTGGTTAAAAGGTATTATAATATTTTTAAATATTATGTAGAACAAAAATGAATACATAGATAATAACAGTAAACAAAGGAAACTGTTCAATGAGAGCACCATATAATTTATAAGTTTATATATAACTTTTCTTTATAATTACTAAATGTCAAATATATTTAAATTTAAAAAAAAACATACTTGCTTTTAGGTCGTTCATAAACATCAATATCAGCTAATGGTATTGATACCTGACCCAAAAATTGATCCAATCCTAAAAAATTTCTATGGAGTATACTTAATATTAATTCTGCAGTATTCCCTTGTTTTGGAATTTGGCTAAAAAAATAAATCATAAAATAGTTAAAATATAATTTCATATTTCAAATTTTAATATAAATAATAAATTAACTCACAGTTCACAAACTTCATGCCACTCAATAACTTCAGCTTGGTTCTCTTTTTCTTTGGGAGAAGTTTGATATTTTTCTTTGCCCAGACCAATTGTGACAAACACATCATTTTTAGCTAAAGAAATATATTGAACACAGTATAAATTAAATTAAATAATGGTAATATTAAAATAAATTATCAATATTGCATTAATAAGTCTACTTTTCATATAGTAAATTGAAGTTAATTTAGTAAAGTATGCATTTGTAATATCTACCCAAATATATTCATTAACAGTAAATTATGTAGGTACTACATTTTAAGAATTTATCTAAAGTGGGTTTTTTTTAAAAACAAAAACATATACTTGATAATAATTATTTAACTTTTTTAAATTAAAACTATATAATTATTTTAAAAAAAAAAGTATTTCAATTTTTTTTTACTATAGATTATTATGAAGTGTAGTTATGTTATTTTTTCATTATTATTTAACTTAGATAACTACTACTGCTCTCTAAGTTACCTCAGTAGAAAACAGCACTGGTGGTGTTTTTTTTTTTTGTAGACTGCAATTTAATTTTTGTATGTACTTACTCTTTACTAGCTAGCAAGAAACATATTATTTATTTAATTCACAAATAATATAATATTTGTTGAATAAATTAATCATAGTGATAACTATATTAATATAATAAATTGGTAAAAATTTTACTTTTTTTTTATTAATTTTTAATTGTAGTAAAAATGTATTAATATTAATCTTTGTAAATAAATACAATAAGTTTTTTTTATAAATGTATGAACTATAACAAAGGTATGTGACCTAAAATATATTGTTGGATAACATTATTTATAATTATTTTTACTACAAAACACTAAACCAGTTTTTGTGAATTTGAACACTAGTTATGATACACTATACCTACTTAAGTAACTTATATAATAATAAAATTACATTTAAGATATAAATATTAAAAACATTTTATTATTCCTATTATATTTTTAAAACAAGAACTATCATTACGAGATAATTCAAGTTATTCCTTGAAAATATCATTGATTTCTGTTATGAAATTAAAATAGTTGGATTAGTACTAAAATTGACCAAACTTAAAAAAAAGGTATATAATGTAATATTACTTAAATTGTGTATTGAATGACTCATAAATTGAGTGAGTAATGAACAAATATCTTAACTGTTAGGTACCTATTTACCTACCTTAGAGAAAAAATTGTTTACCAAGTGGGTACCTACCTATTTTATTTCAATACCTAAATGTATAAAAGTATTAAAATATGTATGTTTGTCTAATTAAAAAGATTATAAGTTGATACAAATTTAAAAAACGAATTATCTATAGAAAAGTATAATATTAACAATCGTCCTTAGTATAAGGCCAGTAATTAAATAATAAGATTCTGTAATAAGATTAAGTAAATCTCTAATTAAATTGAAATTTACACTTACCATTTTTGCTTTTAATGTTTAAATTCTTGGTCCTCTGAACTAGAGAAAAATAATGTTTACATAAAAAAAAAACACCGTTAATAAAATGACATTTAATTTTATAATCATCAAAACGATAGATTTACTTACCCGTTACCTGTACATGTGTGGGACTCCACATAGTATTCATATCTGTGTGTGCACTGAAAACACGAAAATTATAAATTCTACCAATTAGGTATCTATATATACCTACAACCTGCACAACAGGAAAAAATTGATGTGTAAAAAAAAATTATATACCTACTAGAAAATCTATTAAAGTGTATAGCTGATGATTTGTAAGAATTTGATAAGGGAAACCGTCGAATGATAAGCCGTGCCACGACCACGAGAAAACATACGGGAAGTAATACTGATCTGTGATTACTTACTCATACATACATAATATACCTACCTATTTATAACAAAATATTACCTACTATAGTGCCAATTGGCTCGGGAAGTGGGGACATGGCCAACGGACTCATGACATTGTTATTTTGACAATTGGCATACCTAACTATTATAGATGGTATGACAACAATCATCATCATGGTGCCTTGCATAGATGCGTAGTAGGTACATACATCAAGTCTATCTCTCTCTCTCTCTCTCTTTTCATATAATAAAATAATACAAGTACAATATTATATTATGGACACAGCCTTGTAAACCAACAATCAAGCAAATATGTGCATACAATAGGTAGATATTTACATAAATATACAAGTGCTTTTATCTAGTGTAGAATATCAACCTGATCGAATGGCCTCAGAGCCCCCGAAAAACTTGGCGATGATACCGTAAGAAAGTAAATCAGAAAGGTAATAAGAAAGGTGTCTTGTGATTTTTCGACTAAATCATTTTTTCTGATAAGAAACGTCCGTGTTTTTATAAAATAATGAAATCGTGAAATTGTACGTTTTCCTGCGTTTTTCTCACTTAAACGCTTTTATTTAAAAAATGACTTTATTAAAGTACAATCTAAACAACTTGAGCTTTCAGAAAAGTTGCTACACATAAAGATTTATGCAAGTTTTCTAGGAAAAAATGTGTCCACAAATTAAAACAAAGAAAGAAAAAATATAAAATGAACAGCATTATAAAACCAATAGCTCCTTCGCTACACACGAAATCCAAAATAAGTAAATAAATTTTAGATTGTGAGCGAAGCTATGAAATAATTAATTTTACAATATTGTGTTCGATAATATTTGAGTTGGGTTGATAGTATTGCTTTGTCAAATTATGGAAAATTAATTACATATTATGCTTTAAATATTTTCTTTGATAATATTTGTTTAATATTGTAGGTACCTATTTTTCTGATTTCCCTACGTTCTTTCCCGGTTTTCCCATGTTTTTTTCCAGATATTTCCTATTTAATAGGGAAATCAAAACATGACCTCAGTAAAGTATCCCCCTAGTCAGATTTTCTTTGAGAAAAAGTGCTATCATTGTAAATTAGAACAAAATTACTGATAGTAAAGTTGTCCACAAATAAAGTAAATAATAATAATCATTGTAAAATACATTCTTCGCTTCATTCAGAATCTAAAACAAACCACTGTTGTAGTATCTAATTCGGTATGGATTCAACAGAGTTATAAATTGAATAAACATATACAATTTAAAATAAATAAATAATTATAACAAGTTTTATAATAGATAGGTACATCAATTGTTTAGTAGCAAATCGCTGTTGTAGATAGATCATGGATAAGTGGACAGACCGAATAAGTTTTAAATTTAAATTAGGTAGGTACAACGTTTCATTTAATTTCATTTGATGTGAAAGACAACTTAAACTAACGTTTAGTTTGTACAGTGTGCTTTACAAACACATGAACAAGTATAAATGTATAATTAGTACCTATATTATTGTCATTATTAATCGTGGTAATTATTCAGATTAGTACAATTTATTATTATTAGACAGGTTATTAGTATTATTTCCACGATTAGGATTTTATAGCAATTGCATATTTTTTTATAAAATGCTTAAGAAATAGCAAAGTAAACTTAAAATTTGTTTATGACTCGGAGAACTAAAATTATAAATTAAATTATGAATTATGATCTGATTACTATTTTTAACTGAATGGTTTTTTTAGTGCAAATACGATACGTCCTAATAATAATAATAATAATAATAATAATAGGTGCCATAATATTTGCTCCAGATCATCATAAACTATCCATAATGTACACGTCCCTTTCTAAACATTGAAATAGTGTTTTATAAGTATTTAACCTTGATGGTGTCAAACTGTAACGGGGAACGATCATTTTCAAAAATGAAATAAATTTTCTATGAGGTTTTTAAAATCATTGAGAATAACCAGAAAGAAAATTATCGGTGAAATGGCAAATATTTACGGCACGCCACAGCGTTACCGGTTTTATCAGTTTAAATTTTTGAAACTTATGTTTTCACAAAGACATATAGCTCTAATTGAAAAATATTAAGATATCAATAATTTTGTTCCATTTAATATCTAGCCACAGATGAAGAAAGTAATTTTTTAATATCTAAAGTAGTTTTCATAATATTTAGATCACAAATGCATTCATTTATTTTTCATAACTGTTTTATGATCAAATTATTATGAAATGCGTAAAAATTACGTCATTTCAAAATAAGTCTTACCGAAATTTTCTCCGAATCGTTTTCGTTATCAATGGTTAACCGTTGCATACAGATATAAATTAAAAACTTTATGGATCCCTCATTCCTATCTTTCCAACTTCTCACCTACAATAGTTCAGTAGCGGTCCTACGGGAGAGGGTTGATGGGTCGATCGCCCTTCCCTCTGGCCTATATTATATTAAAACAAAAACCTGGTAATATATTTATGTTTATATTATTTTATTATTAATAACTGCGGTAACAAATCAAGAAAAAATCAATGATTTTAATATTTTTTGGCAGCACCAGGTTTCACCATGTGATATGGCTGTGATAATTTGGCGGGGACCGGGGGACGGCATGCACCACTAACTAAAATATTATAGACCGATTTGCAAAACAAAAAACCGAAAAAGGACTTTTATTTAGTAATATTACATAAAATAAATTTTTAAATTTAACAAAAATTTTTTTTATGACTACTCTTTTTAAGGATTATATTTGATGTGAAAAATATTTTACCCCCCTCCCCTCTTGAAATTTGTCAAGGAGCACCATTGCAACAGTGGCTACACCCATCCACAGTATCTTTCACAAGGATGTGAATTTTTATTTATTTTTTTTCTGTGGATAACTTTTCTACCACGAATCTTACTCCGATTTTTAATTGTAGCACCTTTTCTAAAAGGAAATCGTCGGACAGGGAGGTACTTGAGATGTCATTTTTTAATTTTCTCACTAGTTTTCTTATAAAATGAGAAAAACCGGGAAAATAGGTGCAATATTAAACAAATATTATAAAAAAAAATATATAATGCCTATGTCAATATTTTACCATAATACCTATGGCATATATTTGTTGACAAAGCAACTACAGTATATAAACTGAACCCCGTTCAGAGTCGTTTTTTCGTTAGCAATGTTTTATCGTTGCTTACAGATATACATTAAATTTTCCCTCTACTTCGTTTCCAACTTCTCACCTACAACAGCGTGTGTACTCACGTGCGTAGTTGCGCTGATTTTTTTTGTTTGCCACTTAGTTGACACTCTCAGACGATCCACTATATCAGAATAATTTAATTTATACATAATACATATTGTATAAATCATTTAAATGATCTTTGGCCTATTGTGCATATTGCAGTGAAAATTATATTAATGGAGCTCTTCCGTTGTTGAACACATTTACTATTATAGAAATGTACGTAATGAAATGAATAATATAAACGTATTATACTTTAAATTGGTAGTAATGAAGTGTGCAGTAATGAAAAGTCCGGTTGAAAAAAATCTGTAGAAAACAATTTCTGTAAACTGTGTTTTTATAAAATTCTGTTTATTTCTCGCTGTTTACTCTAAAAAAAGTATAATATGTAGGAACAAAATATTTATACAGTTTTTACTCGTGCTAATTTAACTTCAAAAAAATGTCGAAACCATTTCAATCCACTCAATTCTGATTTTATTGTCGTTCTTAAATAAATCTATAAATATGTTCAAAAAAAAAAAATTGAAAAATTTACATGGATCAGTAATTAGATTTTGTTCTACCTAATTTTTTATAACGATTTTTGTCAAAATTTATATTAAAATTCCTTTATAAAAAAAAAATTAAAAAAATACTTACTATATTAAGCTCAATTTTTTTTAGTACAAAGTACGACTTTTAATGAACCTCCTATTAAATTTTCAAGCATTTTTGTTTAGTCTAACAATGTCTTCATAGAGTAGGTAATCTACCTACTGAATAAATTTGACGTACAAAACTCGCAAAATTAAATAATGTCTATAAATAGCTCAAAAATGACTAAAATTAGTTGAAAATTGTACAGTGTCAAGATAAGGCAAACATGTTTTCACATTTACACATCGAAGCAAGATTTCTGGCAGAAATTTATGACACAATAAAAAAAATAAAGAAAAAATAAACATCAATGTAAAACCAATCTACTAAGTCTAAAATATTTTCTTAAAATATTGTAGGTACCTACTTTAAATATTGTTTTCCAAAAGCTGATGTAACCCGAGTCATTATAATATTTTTGTAAGCGATGCAGTTTCAATTTCAATTCGTTTCAAGTATAGACCCTCGAAAATGAGGACCACTATTATAATGGGTAGAGTTGTATTATATTAAAACACGTGCAACGCCATCTATTGGAAACTTTTGGAAAATTTAACAAGTAATGTGCTCATACGTCTATCCCCGCAACTCAATAAATTTCTTATCACGATATCATATGGATAATGGCGTAATATTTTTGTTCATATAACAATAATTTGGAATTTAATTTTTGTTGACACCCAATTTCGGACTAGTGATTTGTAAGCCATTGCGGTTGTCATTAATTTCTTCTTATTAAATAATATTATTATCCGTATTACATAATACGGATTTGACTGTTAATCGATCAAGTCCGCTTAGTATATTGCGATAAACGGGTTACACGTCTTTTCTAAACGCCCGTTTATGCACTGCAGTTCCGCCGAATTGTTGTATGGATTAGATTAACACGAATAACACTTCCGGTCTTATTTTTGCACTTGCGTTTTCGCCATCACTATAACATGGTGCCCTCCGGTGCACTGGTCCTGATTGCCGTATGCTGTTTCTCGTTTATCGGTCCGACGTTCATGTCGTCCGACTATTCGGAGGAGTCTTCGAACAAAATCTTACAGAATAATAATGTAGACATCAAAAACGATGACCGCAAGGGTCCGGTAGAAGGAAAGCAGACGCTCAAATTCTTGTATTGGTATGTATGATTCGTAATTCCTGTATTGGAAGGTATTGGCCCGGCTTGTCTTGGATGCTTCCAAGGAAGTTTACATTTAAAATAGTTTAAATAAAAAGAGACGANGGGGGGGGGGGGGGAGGGGGGGTTAAAATATTTTTAATGAAATAAATTATATATAGAGTTTGTAGTTAGTCTTTGTTATATTATAAATATATACCTACTATAAAAATTTCGGAGGGTGTTTGAACCCCTAAAACCACCCCCTGGATACGAGCTTGGGCGTAGGTTGTAGTGGGAGGTGCGGGGGAGGCAAATGGTATTGTCCATATAATAAGTAATAATATATTAGAATTTTGACGGCAAAACCATTTATAATATTGATAAAAACTGTTTCCACTTCTGAACTATAGAAATATAAAATAAATTTATTTATAAACATAAAATTATTTTATGTCAGTGATCTGAAGTAAAAAGTGACAAAAAGTGACATTTTTTGTTGCATTTTGGTTCAAGTTGGAACATTGTGGTGATTATTTTTTAATTTTCCGAGCGGTTTTCAAAATAACGCTGAAAAACCGGAGAAAAATATTTAGGAAAAACTTATGAAGCATTACCGATTTTATTATTTAAAATTTGTACGCATTATGTTTTCTACCAGAAATCTCAATTCATTCAAAAATATATTGAGACCTTTTTTGTTTTTTTCAAAAAATATTTTCAAAATATTCTGTGATATGGCATTTGCTGGTTTTCATGTAGTTTTTATTTGGTATGTACTCTGTGGATAAAATTGTTTGACAAAGTAGAGATACTTGAAGATTAAAACGAGATTTATTAGGAGAAGACTTATTTACTGACCTGACTAAACTACCCCGAACCAGGTACTTCATTCCCTAGCCAGGCTGAAATTTGGAACAATCATCTATAAGTACATGATCGACCTTATATCCAAAAATTAACTTTCCAATATCACTAATCTCCCTTCATGGTCGGTATGCAAGAAAACTATACAGAATATTTATTAATAAGTTGTACTTAGTAATTAGTGGTAAAATAAAAAAAAGCTGATATTAGCTTACTGCCTACTGCTGATAGATGTGCCACTGTTGTAGGTGATAAGTCAGGACGGTAGGATACATAAAGTTATTTAATTTATATCTGTAAACAACGATAAACCATTGCTAACGAAAAACGATTCTGATTGGAGTTCTGTTATACATGTATTGAAAGGCTATTACATTTACAATTTAAAAATAATACAACTCATACATTTTTACAATTTTTTTCATTTATTATGAAAACCACTTAGAAAATTAAAAAATGACCTCCTTGAAGTACCACCTCAGGAAAATTTACTTTCAGAAAAAGTGCTACAATTAAAAATTGAGGCAAGATTTCTGTTAAAAAAGTTGTTCATTGATATAAAAAATAAATGTTGTAAAACTTGGAGGAACATATTGACATTACTTGCTTCACTTAGAATCTAAAAAAAAATTTACTTAGAAACTTAAAAACAAATTACCTACTCACCATCTAGATTAAAAATTCAACAAAGGTCAACAAGATTTCTGGTAGAAAATATAATTCGGAAAATTTTTTTAATAATGAAATTGTATGCTGTAAATTTGTTCATTTTAATTTCTCCTATTTTCTGGTTTTCCCAATTATTATGAATACTACTGAGAAATCAAAAATGGCTTGCTTTGTGAACAACTAGATCTGTCTATAAATAACTTTTCTGCGTGTAAATAATAAAATTAATATAAAATATTATATATTATATAGTGTTATCTAAATACTAATAATTGTCAATATTCATTTTTTTTTTTATTTTTCATTTCATCCCTATCATTGAATATCATCCAATCAAGAAAAATAATTTTATTTTTTACTTTTTAAAATTTTTAAAGTAAGTAATTTGTTAAGTATATTATTCTAAACATTTTAATGTATCATGCATTCATATTTGATCAATGGTTTCTTAGTAATAGCCATTTTAATTTCTAATAATTACCTTATGTTACAAGTTACAACTGCATTGCAAACAGTTGTAATGGGTAAATCTCAGGGTTAGTAATATATGTGTATAAATGTTTAATGTATAAAACTTTATAACGACTAATACTTTTTTTTTTTTTTTTTAAAAGTTTATTATAATAATGATAATACTGTACATTTAAAATTTTAATAAGTTTTTAAATTTATACATTAATTTAACAAATTAACAAATCACATCAACTTAGTGAATTTTCTTAAATTTAGAATAAAATAAAAACAAAACAAATTATTTTTTGGTAATATATATAATATATTATAAAAATTATTAGTTATTAATAAAAAATAAAGATGAATTTAGTAATTAATATAACAAATTATTACTTATAAGATATATCAAATGATGATCAAATTTGATTGATAATTATTTTATCTGTTAATTTCTGTTCAATTGCGGCCAAAAAAAAAATAAAATATAAATTATAATATATAAAACATATACAACTACTAGTTTTATGCGTTCCAAACCTGGTAAATCTTGCAACCAATAACAGGTTCTAGTACCTATTTGCCCCTAACTGAGTTTTGAGTTGCATCATGAATTAAGATCTTCATTAAGATATCTTAAAAATTAATTTGTTTTTGTATCAATTAATATGACTGACACCTTTTATGATACATTTTAAAGTGGTGATTTCTCGAATTCACTCATGGCTAATAGTTTTTTTTTTTAGATTCTGAGTGGATTGTGGTTTTACAAAGATGTTTATCTTTTACTTATTTATTATTTGAACAACTTTTCAACCAGCAATTTTGCTCAGATTTACAGTGATTATACTTTTTCTAAAAGAAAATCTGACTCTGGAGGTACTTTAAGTAGGTAATTTTTTGATTTTCCCATTAATTGTTGACAAAGCAACACTATCTACTGAACTCCGCTCAGAATCGTTTTTTCCTTAGCAATGGTTTATCATTGCTTACAGTTATTCATTAAATTTCTTCTCTACTACTTTCCTAACTTTTAACCTACAACGGTGACTACATCCACGTGCTTCTTAGTATCACTGTAATTCTTTGTGAACTAATTTTGTTATTTTGTGGTAATATTTATGGTTTTTGTAAAAAATTCTATAACTGATTATTCTATACAATTTAACTGTAAACATCTTATTACACACACAACAAGATACATACTGAAAATATTATTGTCAATGAGGTAGGATGGTATATGAGTAAAAACTAAAAACTAGTTATATTTGTATTGAAATTATATAAATAAGTAAGCACACATATTATGTTACCCTATAATACAAGTAGGTTACATACTAATTTCGATTTTCGCTTAGTAAGTTAAATAACTACATCATAGGTTGGCATCTCTTACAATTGTGAATGGGGCTTATTAATTATTATTTAGTAATTGTATTTAGTTTTTGAGTTATCAGCATTTTAAATTACATATTTTCTGTAGTTTAATATTTGGTAAAACATGTAGAAAGGACATAAAATGTAAATAACTTTCATTATTTATAGTTTTGTTGTAATTTGATTAGAAATATTTATAGAAATCTGAATTTCAAAACATTCTGATGATTGTATTTATTATATATATATATATGTATGATAACATAAGTATAATTAATTTAATTTAATATATTTTTTAGTTATTCTTGTGGTTATCAAAAAGCATTTGATCACTATTCGAGTATTCTTGAAGACAAATATCCTGAACTTAACATTGTTGGTGCAAATTATAATCCATCAATAATGCATTTAATTGGAGCTAAAATATTGGTAAGTTGGTTGGTTTAAAAATTATTTTTATTAAATAACTGATTTTGATATGAAATATATATATATATATATTTTTTTTTTCTAGAGTGTTGCAAAAATGTTAACTATAATTGCTATTGGGTCTGGCGTTAATTTTTTTGAATACATTGGCAAAGATCAACCAAATTGGTGGATTTGGTGTGTATCAAATAAAATTTATGCATGTCTTGTTGTATTTTTCGGCTCAAATATGTTTGAAGGAATGCTCATTTCAACTGGGGCATTTGAGTTGTACTTTAATGGTAATTATTTACATATAATGCAAACTTAATACACAGCACACTCAAATACAAGAAAAATAGTAATAATATGGATGTGTTTATAAATAGTTCTCACAAATAATTTTATGTTTGCAATTATAACAGTGCAGCAAATGAAATTTTAAGGATTATTTGTTTGTAGCTTTTCATGTTTTAATTGTTTTACCCAAAGTTTATTTTATTATTTTATCAATGAGCCAATAATTTTTTTTTGAAATATACTTCATAGTAGATATTTGGTTCCATTTTTTATTTACTTACCTATGCAACTATACAACATTCATGGTACAAGCAGTCATTAATTTATCATCCATATTCTTCATTTTGAAAATATATATAAAACCACTCCACGGGAATACCAAAATTTCACTATATTCATAGACAATAGTTAAATTAAATACATTAAATACATATGTTTGGTGGTTATGAGTGTAATGTTTGAAAATATGACATTTGAGGCATATGTGTGTTATGTTTGTATTTTATTTTACCTAAAAAGTTAGTAAAAATTAATAATTAATAATTAATTAATTTGCAGACATTCCAGTATGGTCAAAACTTCAAACAGGAAGGATACCTCAGCCTATAGAATTATTTCAAATAATTGATAACTATTTAATGTTTGATAGTCCTTATACTTCATAGGTATTTGTTTACAGTGTTTATATTTAAAAAAAAAACCTTTGTCTAAAAGCTTATAGTTTGTTTCTTTGTAATATGCATTAATATCAAATCAATAACAACAAAAATTTGATTGCAACCAAACTACAATAAATTGTGATCTAGTTGCAGGTGTAAGTTGCTTTGATAAAAACTTTTCCCATATGGTTTTAAATTTTGAATGAATGAGTCTTATTATATATATAACAAATGTTCATGGTTATTTCAATATTTTTAGAGTCATTATTGAGTATTCAGTAAATCTTTAATAAGCTTATATTTGTAGATTAGAAATAATTCGATACATTCCATTATATTATATTTAGATTAATTGTTTTTAAAAATGATCAGTATGTAAAATTAAAGTTACATTGTATTGTATTTGTTTGTTATTTTGAACAAAAAATAGATATAGAATTATTTACCGATTTCATATATTGTTAAATTCTATATTTTATTTAGATCTCCTCTCTTCAGATTTAACATATACAACAAAAAAAAATTAAATTTCTATAAAATACTTATGTTGTCAAACCCGAATTTGTTTAATTAATAATAAATGTATTATATTTGTCTCAATTTTTAAATTTATTTGTTTATATTTTATAATAATATTTATCGGAAATGGTAAGTATATAAAACCAAAATATTGAACAAATTAAAAATTTCTCAACTTTCTCAATATTTATCAAATTTAATTAAACTGTTGGTTTTGTATAACAAAAAATGTTAATATTTTGATACATGCAAATTAACTGAAATTTGAAAATTTCGTACTTACATTGATTGTAATTAAGCTCATAATTTTTTAAAATTATTGACTTGCTGGCTCCTATTGAGTTCTATTTTTGTACCGGAAATTATTAAATAGCACTTTAAATATAAATCATAAACATTCTTCAAGTACCAACCCGGCTTACCTACTTAAGACATCACATAGCTACAATAATTAATTTAAGGAAATAGGAGTAAGAAAACGTGTATAAATTAAGGGCACATCAAAAAACGCGTCCGTTGATTTGTATAGTTATTGTTAAGTATACTTATAATTAATTTATTGGATGATTTCAGAAGTCCGCGGTTTACAGTAAAATTCTATAGCATTTAGATATAATTTTCATATGAAGATTGACACTATTTAAAAAAAAAATTAAGAATGATCATTTCATCGTGTGTGTTTTGATGTGTGGGTACCTACATGCAGTAAAAATAAAAATGACTAAAACCAAACCTAACTAGTAACTTGTTTATCATATTAAAAGTGCATGACATATTATTCAACGATAATTTAGTTTACAAAAATCATAATTTTGAATTTAAAATGGTTGTTCTTGTTACTTTGTTAGATACTTTATTTTGAATCCGTAAAATCTTGATATCCTAGGGGTCANAGGGTTAAGTAGGTAGGTACCTATCTGAGCGTAGTGAGGAATATATTAGTTTTACTTTTTATAGTTATCTGAACATGTGGAGCTTTTTAGTTTTTATTTGGTTTTATATGGACACAATTTTTTTCGGTTTTTCAAAAATGCTCTCAACAATATGATACAAGGTTTATCATAATTTATAAAATATTTTTAAATGCCACTATTTAGGAATAGGTATAAAAATGGTTTATAGGGTTCAAATTTTGATAAAAATCGTAAATATCACTGCAATTAACGTACTATTTTAATATTTTATATTAATGTGGATACAATTTCTTTGGTTCTATACAAAAACTAAACAATTAGAAATAAAATTACACAGACAATAATTGTGATTTATTTTGTTGTAATTTGCAGTTAATTTTGATAAACTTAATCAAAATATGATAAACCAAACTTCGCTCGGTATCATTTTTAGTTGGCAATAATTTACTATCGTTGTGCGCAGATATAAATTCAATTATGTACCTATCCCACATAATATCTTATCTCCCCAACTTCACTAATAACAGTGACGGATCCATGAGCATTGAACAGAAACGTCAATGTTCAGAAAACTTCTAACGGTATCATCAACTTTTGAGCTTTAAAGGAATTTTAATTTTTAGGTTTTTTTTTTTGCTGTAATTTGATTATAAATACACGTAGAGACTTGAAACTTGGTAATAATACTTATACTGGATTTATCTAAATGTTGTAAATTTCTAAAATTATTGGACGACTTTTTTTTTTAATAAGCGTTTTGAAATCAAATTTAAACGAAAATTGCAAAAAAAAAATACGGTATTTCAAATTATGTATTACCTCGGAATCATCTTTCGTCAAGCAATGGTTTATGGTTGCTTACAGATATAAATGAAATAACTTTACGGATCTTACCTTCTTAACTACTCACCTACAACAGTGGCCGCTCCCATCTCCAGTATCAGCTCTTTTTTAGTGTTGCTTACATTAATTAATAATGGTGAAAATTATCTTTTAATTTTAAAGATAGGTAGGTACCAAACAGGTACATACAATTGTTATGTTTTCATGAAATTATAGTGTAAACGCGAAGTTTTCCGTCACCGGTACCAACAGCTCATCATAATTTAAAGTATTAATGTAAAATTAGGAGTTTTCCGCAGCTTATCGTATCCGTCGTGCGAATAACAAAATAATGAATTTTGAATCCGACCGAAAAGGCTGCGGAATTCACGGCGTACCTACCTACCTCCTAAAAAACACCGCGTTTAGCCCCGGCTTAACTAATGTTACGTCATTGAACTCTGACATTTATCGAATAGGACACCTATCTAAGTTTTAATTTAACTGAATATCAAAGTTTGTACATAAAAAAAAAAATAACAATTCATTTTTTTTTTTTTTTTTTAAATAACCAACTGAACTTAAATAAGTAAGCTACGTAGCCAAGTAAGCTTGTTCATCTTTGGTACCTATTTTACATTCCCACTTTGGTAGACATAGGATACCTATAGCAATGAAAAATACTTTTGCATGCACCCAATATTGTATCTCATAATAATTATTGACGTACGTTATTGGTAGGTAGATAGGTGGTTTAATTAACTATTGTAATTGATTTACAGAATCGATTTTTATACAGTAATTATTTATCTGGACGTTGGCACTTACATAATTATTATAAGGTTAGGTATAAGTAGGTAGGTACTTAGGTAGTTAGGTCAGATGTGCGTAATAAAGAGAAAATTCTGTACCTACTGTCTGTTCGAATTGATTTTATCTTGGGGTCACGTTCATTATTGTATTGATTATATTATAATACGTACCCATTTAATTTTTAATTAACATTTTAACAATATTATTATTATACCTAATGAACCTTTTATCTCGTGCTCTTTCACACATATTATATTAAGGCATGATCTACACTTAAGCACATTTTGATGTCATTTTTTTTAAAGGGGCTGCCAGTGGAAATTTTACTAAAAAATCACCTGTTTTTAACTCGTTAATCAATTGTCAATTTTTGTTACGAATTATCGTTCGCTTTCGATTTGGCTGATATTGCAATGTTCAGGAAAAAAAAATACCTACCTATATAGATTTACTAGAGTGGTCGATTAGATGGGTAATTTTTGTTGGGAAGGGGATAATCTGTTTCTCCAGTCTGTAGTTTAACGATTTCCGTATTGAGCACTGACAAACATCAACAACAACTAGAGTAATAAAAGCTTCCCTTTATTTTCATATTTTATTCATATTTTTAATATTACGCTCACGATGTTCGGTCCGCATGCCTGTGCAGGTGTGGACGCTCCTTTACGTCGTTATCTTCACGCTTATTCGTTATCAATTATTTAAAAAGACCGTTCCTCGGTTCTAAGTTTTTTGTACCTATGATATTATCATCATATTATTCACAATAATAATTACGAATTTTTATCGCCTCTTTAAAGTTTTAAACACTACTACGATATGTTAGTTTGCGTAACTCCTTAAAATACCTTTATTATATTTTGTTTCATGAACAGTAATCGAAAACTGTAATATGAATCCAGTTATTTCGTTGGTGTTAAAAACATTGGGATTTACTGGGCTGAAAAAAATCGCAAACGAAAAGTTCGACAAGGCTATAAATCTAGCCAAAGATGGTATGAGTAATGTTCAAGATACGACCTATAAGGGTGGCCTGTTCTCGATGATAATTATAACCATCATATGGATATCTATATTTTTGTACATAGCATTCTACTATGCCTACATGCCGTCTCTTATCCTCAACCGTCCCATTCATATGCAGTTCAAGTGAGTATTAATTTAAGTTTTAATCGTATTGGGTACCTATATATCTGTTTAGCCTAAGGATTTCTTTCTACTGATCTTAAAAAAATATAATTAGCTTAAAACTTTCAGATTTAAAAAAATGCTAAAACAATACAATTTGATACACAGTAAATACAAAAATCATAACTAACAGAAATTGCATTTTTTTTATTCATATTCCTAAACATGAAGTTTTACAAATATTATAGAATTAAATTGAATACCTACTTTTAAATCCTTGAACATGTTAGTTACATGCCCAAATTCGTGAAGCCAACTGCATTTTTGACATTTATTTTACTACTAGGTACCTAATTTAGGTTCTACTACCTATTCAAATAAGGCTTTCTAAACTTCTATTAATCTACCAAATTGTTAATTGGAATAGCCATAATATGTAAAATATATTACTAGTATTAAGTAATATTAAATACTTGTAGTACACTTGAAAATGCATTGTTACTTTACTACTTATCTATAATGTTAACAAAAATAGTGCACATTAAACTTGACAAATATTAACACTTTAATAAATCATTAAAATCTTATTTTTTAAATAAGCTTCCAACAAGAATAGAATAAAAAGATTAGCTAGGTACCTAAGTAAATTATTACTATGCATATTGTATTAGTTTTCTTATTATAAATCCTGATCTCATGTGGGGTCCATTATCGAATAAATAAACAATAATAATAATAACAGTGATGAGAAAAACATGTTAAATTTTCAAAAAATGAACTCGAATGTGAACTATTCCTTATGTTTTATGAATGTGAACATTTTATAGTTTGTTGAATATTTAACATCATAGACCATAGTTATATTAATTACTTAAATTGCATGTACACATTGGCACATTGAATAAAACAATTTGAATTTCATACATTGAATTTTTATTTACTGGGGGGGGGGGGGGAGAAATGACAAGTACCACTTATGTATTTTTATTGATTTCTAGTTAATACTACTAATAGATAAAATATAATGATTTTAGATTCTGAGTGGAACGAGGAATGTATTGGTTTTACAATGATGTTTATTTTTTAAATTTTTTTTTATGCTAACACTTTTTCTGAAAGAAAATTTTCTCTGGGTGGTACTTTCAAGAGGTTATTTTTTAAAATTCTCATTAATATTCAAGATAATGAGGAAATCCTCGGTCTTTAGATTAAAAAAGATTGAAAAATTAAAAATAAGGTTGTCATTGACAACCGTTTTTATTTATTTTTTGTTATTATTTTAATATTTTTTAAACTGTCATTGTTGTCATGGAAACACATTGTTTTAATCATTTTACATGTACTGTATTGTTGACAAAGCAACTGAACTCAGCTCAGAATTGTTTTTTCGTTAGCAATGGTTTATCGTTGCTTACAGATATACATTAAATTTCCAACTGTAGCTTACCTTCCCAACTTCCCACGTGCAAAGTATGCCCTTTTTATAATTTTAAATAATAATAATGTATCAATACATGTATATAGTTATGTATTAATCAGTAGATATTTTTATAATTCTTAATAAGAAAAATGCAGTTAGTTACTGTTCAGTGTTTAGTATTTATACATATTTTTATATTTATATAGGTTCTTGCTCAGAACCAACATGACATGATAAGTATCTATTTTAAATTATTTATTGAATTTAAAAATATATATTATATAGGTAATTCATTAAATAAACTAATGTATTAGGAACTCAAACTGTAATGAAATATTCAGTTATGAATGATTTATTTTTGTGGAGTGGGGTTTTTTATAGTTTATATAGTTTAGGTACAATGACCTAGATTTTGGAGATAAAATAATACTATACCTACATTTTTTTTGTTTTTTTTGATGAATTTTCTATAATGTATAATGTAAATACAAAAATATTCCCTCGGAAAGTATAAAATTTAAAAATGCATTAATAATTACCAAAAAAATTACATTATGTTACACCACTACTTAAAAATAAAAATGATACCCATCAGCTTCTACGTTTATAAAAACAAATTTCAATATATTGTATACACCATGTATTAGAGCAAATGTAACAAATTCCAGTTTTTTGTTATGACATTATTTAATACCTAAATAATTAAATAATTTTAGTTATTGAAATTGAACTAGTTAATTTTAAAAATGAACTTTGATTAATTTAATTTGAGAAGTAAAAACTAGAATTTGAATTTAATGTCTTAAACTTTAATAAATATTAAAGTTTAAGATTAGAAGTTTAAATAGCTTTTCCCCATCACTGAATAATAACAATAATTTTTATATATTTTGTTTAAGAAACTGTTATAGCAATAAACAATTATGCGATTATCCTTCAGCACATGTCAAGTTAACAAAAAATCATCAGTTGTTAATGATCGGTCAAAAATACAAAATGATAGTCAATATGGATCTACCAGAATCTCCTGTAAATGAAAAAATTGGTAAGAATTAATATAAACTATTATAATTTCATAAATGCAAAATTATTTTAGTTTAGTTTTATTTTTGTTTAGGAATGTTTATGCTTTGTATTCGTTTAAATGACAAATATGGATATCTTGTATCCTCTACTTGTCGATCGAATAGGTTGAAATATAAGAGTAGCTTGTTTCATATTATTTATACAATATTTATGGCTCCATTTTACTTGGCTGGATTATCTGGAGAAAATCAATTGATTCAGTTTGAAATGTATACAGAGTTTGAAGAAGATCAAGTACCTATTCATAAATGTAAAATTATATTGTATATTTTGTATAATGTAATTTGTATGTTCTGTTTTAGTTACATCCAGTTACAGATATTTATTTTGAGTTGCTGGATTATGACATTCAAATTTATTCTGCCAATATAAACATCATTGCAAATTTGAGTGGTTTACGATACCTCATGTTTCATTGGCCAATATTATCTGCTATACTAGGTATTGGATCAAATCTATTATTTGTATTTTTTGTGTTTTCAATGTCATGGCGTCACATATATGGAGCAGAAATTTATAGATCTGAACCAAATGGTAATACAAATTACTTGCAATACTTCTATTATGCTAATAATATTCTAAATTAATTTTTGTAAATAGATCTTTTAGATCTATGTGAAGTTTTTGATGACTATGTAACTGACCAGGAAAATGAATCAAATGATTCCTGTAACACAAGTTTCTCCTAATCCATCTTCAAATCTTACAGTTATTGAACAATAGCTATAATTTGGAACAGTCAATGGAAAATATTAATAAATAAATAGATAATCTGTTTGGTAGTGTATTATAATATGATAAAAAATTTTACAATTTTTTTTTGTATTTAATGTTTTTTGTGATTTTAATTGATAATAAATAATAAAAATGTTCCTGTTTTTTTATTAAGATTATAAATATATTTTAATTCAGAATTCAATAAGTTAAGTTACTTTATCTATAATTTTTAACCAGTAAGTTGTGTAACTAATAATTATTTATTTTGTTATTTAGATACTAATATTAAAAAACTATGTACTTTGCACGTGGGTGCAGCCACTGTTGTAGGTGGAAAGTTGAGAATGTAGGATGCAGAAGGGAATTTAATGTTTACTTGTAAGCAATATAACAATAATAATAATAACAATAAATAAATAAAACCGGTTGCCAATGACAACCTTATTTTTAATCTTTTAATCTTTTTCAACCTAAAGATCTAGGTTTTCCATATTATCTCTTATATTAATGAGAATTTCAAAAAATGATTTATATATTTATAGGTACATAATATATATGTAATTTCTTAAATTAGAGGTTGATGCCTACTCTCTATAAGCAATGTTTGTGTTGAGAGCAAGGAGTTCATAACTAAAAATTATTTGCTATATTTACATAGGAGTGATATTCCTATGCTAATGTAATACAATAATACAATTTGCTTTAATCAAGCTATTACAATAATAATAATGAACTGGTTGAATAACATATTAATAATAATCACATACAATAGTAATAAAAGTAATAAAAGAGACATTAATCAAATAATAGCATGTATATATTATTTTTAGCATCAATCTTAATTTCGAGGTATTCTCAATTAATTTAATATCTATGGGAAGTTAGTTAAATAATCTTATACCTCTGGTTATATAATAATTTTGCATTAATGCTGGATTTGGTTTATTAAAATTCAAATAACCAATATTTTCTCCCCTTGTTTTATAAACATTATACCTTTTAAAAATCTTAGTTTATGTACATTTTTATTATTGACGCTTAACTATATAATTGTTGTAATGTTAATATTTTTAGTATTTTGAACAGGTTGATAGTACTATAATTTTGATCAATATGATCATTTTTCATCATTGTTTTAATGAGTATTCTTTGTGTTGTGTTTATAGGTGTTAACACATTTTAATATACTGAACCCTATAATATTATATCATACATGATTACGGATTGAACTAAAGCAAAATAAATCATTTTTAGACATGGTATGTCTTGGATGTTTCCTAGTTCTTTAAATATGTGGAAACATTTTCTTAAGCACATTACTATAATTTCAATGTGGGGTTTCCATTTTAAGTCCATCTAAGTATTTTTACTGAACTAACTCTTGCAATATAACTATATTCTTATTACATTAGGTTAATTTTTTTTTCATTATTTTCATTATTATGTGATTTTATTATGATTTGCTCTTGTGTGTTATTATTATTATTATGTGTCTTATTATTCAATAAGACAAATTGAATAGTAGTAGATTATGGTTTTACAAAGATGTTAATCTTTTTTTTCTGTTAACAACTTTTCTAACAGAAGATTTGTTTGGATTTCTAAGTGTAGCACCTTTCTGGGAAAAAAATTGGTGTGCAATTTTGGCTGTCAACAGGAATGTTACCATTTGTATTTAAACATGTATTAAGATTCGGAAACTCACTTAGATCATGGCGATTTATGTTTGTTTTATAAAGATCAAATTTGGTAATGAATGAAGAAATTACTCCTTTGGTATTTTAAAGTTCATCTTATTTCTTTGAGCTTCAAGTAGACTTCATTCATTTTTTAAAAAAATATCTGTGAGGTACCTGTTATGTTGTACACTTATTATTATTATTCTAGTTAAGTACACTGTACATACATAATGGAAAGTATTTTGTTGACACACTCGAGTATATCTCCCTACATACGATTATAATACATGAGCAATAATATAAAACTTGATTAACAATAATTATATCTCTGGTTATATCTTACAGAATAGCCAATTTATACGTATACTAACAGTATCCAATTTCAATTTTTTGTTCATTTCAAATTTTTTCTTTAAGACAGGATTAATTTTGTCGAGAAATTAAATGATTGTGTCGAATAATGCAAAAAAAACGCTATAAACAATTTCGATTGGAAAACCACTTTATTACTGTATGCAAAAGTTAAAATTCCTCATTATTATGATGGCAAAGTTCCAGAAACAGACTGTCATTGAGCGAACTTGCTTTAATATTGTTTACAGCTTTCATGACGTATTGAAGAGTTTCGTGCATGATACCACTTAAGTTTTTTGCAGCTAAATATTGGCGATGTATAACACAATGAACAGCAATAGCACCTGGAACGTAAGTCTGAACTTACAGACAGTTACAGTACTTATTTTTTATAAACGTGTACGTAGAAAAGGCCTTTTACACCATCATAGTGCTTGTGAATGGTAGCAGAACATTGCATGCTTTGCATGATAGCTCAGGATATTCTTCTTTCACATCAACCCAAAAGATGATAATAGATTTCTTTTGAAATGCTGTCTCAAGTGAAAAATTAGTTTTCAGTTCTAATAGTTTTTCTTTTTCTTGTACTGATAAAACGGCAGATTTGAAATAGTTTTCACGGAAAGGGAATGCGATTCAGTGGTCTTCTTTTCCAAATTTAGGAAAGTATTTTTCAAAAGCTACTGTGAGCCCAGTTAAGTGTTGAATAACTTGTTTTTTGATGTCTTGTGATAGGATCATATCAGTTTCACAGAGAAAATCGTGTAGTGTTTCAAAAATTTCTGGTTGATTATTCTCAATACACGACTTCCAAAACTCTAACTTTTTAACAAAAGATTCTACTTTGTCAGTGGCTTAAAATGTTTTCAGTGAACTGTTTTGAAGAGCCAAATTTAGAGTATTTAATTTCAAAAAAACATCGGCCAAGTATGCAAGTTTTTGAAGCCATTCGTGGTTGTTAAATGGGATAGCATTTATTTTATGGACATAGATGGACATAGTCTTTTCTAAACATACAAGAAACTGCGTCTTTAATACTTGGCAAAATCAAATTTTCGCCGATGGTATGATTTTTACCACTTCTAGTAATACGATAACTAATTCGAAAAGAAGCTTCGACAGCATCTTCGTTAGCACTACCCGTAGAAAAGTAAGTACGCATATAGCATTTATTTTTATTTTCTAGCAAACGTTTGAAAAAAATGATATTTTTGTTCTTTGAATCTGAGTGTTTAGTATTTAAATGACGAGTTGGTAGTGAAGGCTTCATACTGCCATTAGATAATAATTTTAAACATATTGTCAGATTTGAAAATATAAGTAAAATAATTGTTATACAGTGAAATCCTGAGATTTAAAGTATTTAACCTATATAACACTTAAATTTTTGAATTATTTTATTTTTTTGTTTTGAATCATTTATATAATAAATTAATATTAACCCAGTTTTTTGTAAAACTTTGAAATTTTTTAAAAAATTATATATACTCGTATTTAATGCATACACAATTATAAAAGTATATAATTTATTTTAAATTAATATTAACATCTTTTTGCATATATTTGTTGAAAAATTGGTATATTTATACACTATTTTGTTAAAAATAAATAAAATAACTTTTGTCTCAGTTTACTCTTTATATAAGGAATTAAATTTATTTAAAATATTATTATATTACTTTTAATAATGTCATTACCTAAAAGGTAGTAACCAATTTTATAATACGATAAATCGGAGAATCAGACATTAAATTGGTTGTTGCTACAGGCAAATAAAATAATCATAAATATCTTAAACTACTTAAAAAAACCTTAAAACTAATCATGTACAACAATTAGGATTATTAATCGCATTATTGGGGTACAAAAGTAAATCGCTTCCACGTAGTGTACCCTGGGTAACGTTTTTTTTTTTTTTTTAAACGGCTAAAGATTTACCAAAACCGACTGCTGTACTGTCTCCATGACCTCACAGCAAGTATGAACAACAACACTAGCATTAATACTAACAGCACGCAAAACAGCCCTTTTCAGTGCTCTCTGACCCGAGATATTGGCCCTCAGCTAATTATCTTCCAACTGAATGTTGAAGGCTTAAGCAGAGACAAGAGTAGCTATTTAGCTTGATTATTACCTGAACTTAAAGCTGATATAGTCTTACTACAGGAGACTCATGTCCCAGATGAAAAACAAATGCATTACCGATGGAACATCGATGGTTATAAACTCATCTCTGCCACCTATCACAAGCAATATGGATCCACTACCTATATTCGAAATAATATCTCGAACTCGAGTCACATATATACAAGAATGGTTGGGCTCGTCTCCATGATAGCTACCAACGTAGCTAATTTAATTATACTTAACATCTATAAGCCCCAAAATGAAAAATGGCCCCTGCCAACCCTTCCACCATCCCAATACCCCACAGTACTCGCTGGTGATTTCAATAGCCACCACGCCAGATGAGGATACGATGAAAATGACGAAAACGGGGAGCTTTTAAGTGAATGGATATAAACTGAAAAAATGCAACTGATATTCAGCGGAAAAGATAGATATACTTTTCACTCAGAAAGATGGAAACGAGGGTACAATCCGGACCTTTGTATTGTCTCTAAAGATCATAATGGTGTATCACTTCATGCCCAACGATCTGTCCTAAATAATTTTCGAAAAAGCCAACATAGACCTGTACACATACAAATTGGTATCCAGATTCCATTAGTAAAAACAATACCTAAACCGAAATGGGACTTTAGAAAAGTTAATTGGCCTGCTTTTTCAAAATCCCTAGACGATAATATCAGGTGGATCGACACAACAGTGAACAACTATGAACGCTTCATTGGCATGGTTAAGGGAACTGCAAAACGTTATATCCCCCGAGGCTACAGACACAAATATATTCCCTGCTGGAATGAGGAAAGCGACAGACTGTATGCAGAATATCAAAGAAATGGCCAAGCAGAAACCGCGGATAAACTCTTAGAATCACTAGCTAAAGGACGCAAGGACCGTTGGACTGAAACTGTAGAACGTCTAGATTTCAAACACTCTAGTCGGGAAGCCTGGAATGTTCTACGCAGACTAGATCCCTGCCAGAATCGAGATGGCAGCGAACCTGAAATAAAACCTAATGCATTTGCGAATCGATTAATAGAAACGTCAAGAGCCAAAATCGATAAAAATATATCAAGAAAACTGACTATGGACCTTAAAGTAAAGAAAACCCGTGCAGTGGAAAATTCGCAGTGAGCTGACAAATTTACTCTCGAAGGAGTACAACTAGCATTAAAACGTGTTAAACTTAGGAAAGCTGCTGGACTTGATGAAGTATACCCGGAGTTTATAAAACATTGTGGGCCCAAGACAACTGTATGGCTCTCCATTTCTTCTCCGATGTTCACCATATGGGAAAATTACCGAAACTTTTCAAACATACAAAAATTTTAGCAGTCTTAAAGCCAGGAAAACCAAAAAACGATGTAAACAGCTATAGACTGATATCTCTACTAAGCGTATGCTACAAATTACTGGAAAGATTTATCTACAATCGTATTGCTAGTACCATTGATGATATTATCTTGAACAAGCTGGGTTCCGCCTTTATAGGAGTTGCTGTGACCAGGTTATGGCACTTACTACCCATATAGAAAATAGTTATGATAGGAACGTCAAAACCACAGTGGCATTCATAGACTTATCATCTGCCTATGACACCGTCTGGAGAAAAGGGCTTTTATCAAAATTCTTGGATGTGATTCCGTGCAAAACAGTACTAAAACTTCTCAACAACATGCTCTGTAACAGATTTTTCACTGTTTACATTGGAGAAGAAAAAAGTAAAATAAAGATGCCAAATAATGGCCTTCCTCAAGGCTCTGTCTTGGGACCTCTTCTCTTTAACCTATATATTAGGGACCTTTCAGCGACAACTGCAAGAAAATTTATCTATGCTGATGACCTTGATATACTACATTAGTTCTACAATCAATGGATACTCAAACCAAATCTATCAAAAACGGAAGTCACCCTCTTCCATCTGAATAACAGAAGAGCAAACCAGGAGATACGGGTACAGTTTGGAGAGCAGTTAGTGAAAAACAACCCTTACCCCAAGTATCTGGGTGTGGTACTGGACAGGACGCTCATATTCAAGAACCATCTAGTTAAACTATCAGCAAAAATAAAGACCCGTCATAGCATAATTGCCAAATTGAGTGGTACGTCATGACGCAAATATCCTACGAATCAGCACGCTAGCACTAGTATATTCAGCTGCGGAATACTGCACCCCAGTATGGATAAATAGTGCACATACCAATAAACTTGATATACAGCTCAACTCAGGAATGAGAATTAGAATTAATTAAAGATTGAATTAGTACTAATCAGGATAAGTAAAATCGTTGCAATGCTGTTTAATAAAATCTAATTGCCTTGAACCTTATTGTTTATTGTAGCATAACTATTATACACATAGATTAACTGAGAGAAAACATCACAAAGACACACGACAACCATGCATGATTTTGCATAAGTAGTTTTTATATTTTAACAAAAGAACAAATTTATAACATACATTTTGAGGTTATTAATAGGAATAATATTATTATCAATAAGAATGTAGATAACAACACTTGCTCTTAATCTCAAATTAAAAAATATAAACATATTCAAATATAAATTAAGTGTTATTCTAATCCAATTGCTTTTCTTAATTTTGAAAATGGAATGGCAGGTAGTAGTTTTGTTAGAATATCTGCCAGTTGATGATCTATTTGAACATATGCTAATTTAATTTGGTTTGTTGAGATTGCTTCATGAATAAAATTATATATTGTATCCAGATGTTTCAATTGTTGATGTTACTTTAGTTCATTAGCTATTCTGATGCAAGATTGATTATCTTCATGCAATAATATGTAATCTTTGTCCGTGATAATTCACATCTCTACAAGAAGTCCTTTCAGTCACATTTCTTCTTGAATTGCAGATGCCAAAGCTAAATATTCTGCTTTAGTCGATGACAAGGCTACAGTTGATTGTTTTCTAGTAGATCAACTGACTGTGGAACCAAAAACTTGATAAAGATATCCAGAAGTAGATTTTCGGTCATCAATTTCGTTGGCAAAATCAGCATCAACAAAACCTTGACGTGGACATATGTTATTATTCTTAATGTAGGTCATTAGAATTGATTGAATTCTTTGTCTAAAATGTACACTTACAACTGCTTCATATTTCTTAAAGTAAAGTACTTCACTTTTATTCTAAAGCAAATAAATTTTATTAATCATCAATAAATTTTAGAATGTATTTCATATTGATTGTTACACATATATCACTGTGTATCAGTTCAAGTGGACGCTGTTCTATTTTTTCTTAGAATGAAGGGCTGTTTAGTCTGTTTGCTCTCTATACAAACTTCAAAAATTGTAGGCAGTTCCTTTGTATTGAATTGAACTCCAAAAGAAATATTCTTCAATTTGTTAAAGTAATCTCTATTTGGATGTCCCATTCATTTATGGCATAATATTCCATCAATATTTGCCTTGACACGACACAGCTGTTGAAATTAATGCTATTATCTCTGTTTAGAATAAAAATTAATTTGTATAGTGTTTGGGTTCTTTTAGATAATGTTATTACATTTCAATTTGAATTGAACACACTTGCTTGTCCTTTTTCAAAAAAAAATTTTAAAACCAAGTTCTTCAACTTATCAACAGACAACAAATTATATCTTAAATGTGGAACATAATATACTTTTTTAAATTTACATAAAATAGTCTAACTTTCTACTTGATTGTATGCATTTATTGATTTATCCATTTTTAGTGACACCTATGATCATTGGATTTTCTAGTACTTTCACAGATAAAAAATATCTCTCGCTGTTTACTAAATGATTGGAACTGCCTGAATCAACATACCATGTTATTTGGTTTAATTTTTCATTTTGTTACGTTAGTAATGTGGTTACTGGGAAACACACAATTCCGTCATCATTCTCCGAAATATTGTTAGCTATCGGTTTTTGTTTATACAACTCTTTGGATCTGTTCTTTCCTTTATAAAACTTTTTCCTTTAAAGCTTACATTCAGCTGATTTATGTCCAACTTGATTACAACTATAACATTTAAAATGAAATTTGCCAGTATTCTCTGCATTAAACGCTACACTATCAGATAAACACTCTTCATTTGTAATACTATTACTTTTCTTTACTTCTTCATCTAATAAACGACCCTTTACAAATTTAATTGTAAGAGTCTCTGGTGAAAGAGTTTTTAACGCTGTAACTACATTGTTGTACGTTTCAGGCATAATAAGTAGTAGATGACAAACAATACCTTCGTTCTCTAGTTTAGCTCCTGCAGATCTGAGTTGTTATATTATCTTATCAAACTTCAACTTCACAAAATGTCTTTCTAAATTTATTTTACCACTATATTTCATCTTCAATAATCGCCTTCTCAAATACAATTGACTGGCGACCTCTTTTCGCTCAAAAGTTTTTAATAGTGAATTCCAAATTTCTTTTAATGTGTTCTTTCCCATCACATATTCTAAATGTCTATCAGCAATACATTAAACTATAAGTGACTTACATTTATTGTCGTCTTTACGCCATTTTTTTGAGTCTTTTTCTTTCGCAAGCGATGAATAGTTTTTTAAAACACATTGCTTCACACCAAATTCTTCAAGCAATACTTCTACATGAAATTTCCAGTTTGGAAAATTCGTACCATTAAATTATCTAACTCCGTACTTGTCATCACCTTTTTTGGCCATGCCTGGGCCCATAACCTATTGTAGGATAACTATAATATACATAAATTAACTGAGAGAAAAAGTCACAAAGACACACGACAACCATGCATAATTCTGCAAAAGTAGTTTTTATATTTTAACAAAAGAACAAAAGTCACAATATATATTTTGAGGTTATTGTTACGAATAATATTATTATCAATAAGAATATAGATAACAATATTGTTCATTTCCGAAATATGTAAATAAATTGTTAACTTTGATTTAAATATATTTCATAAATCCTTTATATATGTAACAACTGGTAACATTGTATTACTAATATGGTACGAGAAGACTAGTGTTTTTTTTTTTTTTACAGTAGAAAGAGATAATGTTACATTTTGATATGATAGATAGTGGTCGATAGTTTTAGAGGTCAGTTAAATTTCTTGTTTTTGGTATAGGTGTGATATAAGAAGTTTTTCAATAATCTGGATAAGTGCTAATTGAAATTGATAAATCCAAAATATAATGAATAAATGCTATCATGTTATTAATACAGGATTTTAAGAAATTAACTGCTAACCTATCTGGTTCCATTTGAGTTCGATTATTTTGGATATTTAAAGAATTATATATATATCATCAAAAGATAGATCAATAGTGTTAATGTTGGTGTGAATTTTGTAATATAGTAAAAAATAATTTATTGGTAATTTGGATTTTACATAAACACTAGAGAACTGTTTAACAAATAAATTCACAATATCTTGACCATTATCTGCACTTAAATCATTTAATTTAATGATTTGTGGTATAGAATCATTGGAAGATATATAATTTATTATATATGGTTCTTCCAACTTAAATAATATCATGTATTTTAATAACAAAATGAATATTGGGCACCACTGAGAGAACTCAATATAGGATACAATCATACACAAGAAAAAAAAACATTATTTTAAATAATAACTAGTAAATAATAGAAATCAAATAAAAACATGATAATAAGAATGAATATAAATTAATTTAGAATACACATGTAAATATAGTATAGGTACATAACATAAAATTTATAATATATTTTCCTATAAAAAATCATCTTAGTTTAATAAACTAGTTTGAAATTCTGTTTTAAATAATCTATGTTTTAGGCTTAAAATATCAATAAGTATTTTATTAAATAAGATTGTTTTATTTGACCAATCCACTAAAACATTTTTTTTTAGCATAACATTTAGTATTGATGCCATATGAAATAGGATTTAATAAAATATGTTTTTTAAGAAATATGATAAAAGTTTTATAATAACATTTTTTAATGGGTATTACCTTTAGTTCATTCTACAGAACTTCTGTAGAGAATCTATAATATTTGTTAAATGACATTTTTAAAATTTGGTTTTGATAAATTTGAAATTCTATTAAAATACAATATCACGAGAAAACAAAAATTCTGTAACACCCTAATATACAAAATATTATCAAAAATACATTATCTATACATAAATATATATTAATTAATTTTTCATGACTGACTCATCATATAGCTCAAACTATTGGAATTTGAAATTTGGTACACAGATAACTATTAAATTTTATTTGTTCATTAATAAGATACCTTTGTGACATAGATTTTAGTTTGGTTGTCTCCAACAAGACAAATAATATTATTATTATTTACACTATTATCTAGCAATGCCCAGTTAGCAAGTTTATGTTCGATGATATACATTAACATATGTTAATCATAATTATTGTTTACAAACTCCTATCTCAATAATTCTTCTAAAAATGTATGGCAAAATTATCTTTAGTCATAAAGAGCAGTTCAAAAGCAGGTCATAATTTACTACTATATAACATTGAATTTGGTGTACTTTATAGATTTAAATCCATTTGCTCATATGTAATTTTTTTTATTTTAAAAATGTTAAAAAAAACACATACAAAAAGTAAACATACAAAGGTTTTATTAAATTCATCTACAAAACTTTAATTATTACTCACATTATTAAGCAGTAGACAGAAGTATTCCAGCTGTACAGATAGAATAGCTTATATAGATAAAACAAAAATAAAATTTTATTGCAGAATATTTATGCTAATAAACAATAAAACAATCGTGTTTAATGTAATAATACAAATTATACAAAAAAAAAATTAGAACAATTGAATAAAAATATAATAGTCCATTTTTATTTTTCATAATTATTATTATGTCAATTAATCGTGTTTCATATTTTATATTGTAACTTAAAATTCTTATCAGTTTTTACAATAAAAAATGATTTGTAAAATTCAATATTCATTTGATATTAATATTGGAAACAAGTTTTAAGTTAATAATAAAAAATATTATGAAACAAAATTAATAGCGATATTCTGACAAAACCATTATATTACTACAGAAGTAATCTAGCACACATTTCTATAAATAAACGTCAATTTATTAATTATTATAAATATACTAAATAAATATATAAATAAAAAATGTACATACTAAATTAAAAATAAAATAATTAATACTCAAGCCAGGTTTTACATTTTGGATATGATATACCTGATGATGAATTTTTAATTTGAAACCAGTCATAAAACATTAATTATAATACTCCAGGCAATGCATCCATTCATTAATTTATTTATTTTTATAATTTTTTATTTATATATTTATTTAAGGGCGCCAACTATTTTAATAATTTTGTTTTTACTTTATTATTTTATTAATATTATGAATTCATAAAATATAAATATAAATGATATATTTTTGTTATGTATATAATGATTAAATTAGCTTATAATTAATTAAAATTAAATTAAATTAAATGTGTGTCTAGAATTAGTAAATTTAACATGGGTATACCACACAATTACAGGCTTTACAGATATAAATGGAATTTCAGAGTAACTGTAAATATAAATTTTAAACTACTGACTTATAAATGATATTATCTAAACCCCACAAAATATAAAGTTAAAAGTTTAAAATTTAAAGTCCTTATATTTTTTGCTCGCTTTTGCTTCTTGAGCAGCTTTTCGTTTTCCACCTTTTTTCTTGTCCATTTCTGTGCCATCATCCTTTCCGCCCTGTTGATTATTTATATTTCTCTCGTACATAGCTACCATAGCTTCCATATCATCGGTTAATTCTAATTCAGATGGGTCTAGACTGACTTCAACTTTACCTGATATTACAGTTGGTATTTCGTATATATGTGTGGATGCCATCATAGATTCACACACAGTTTCTACCTTCTTTTCTGGCAAAACATGAAACAGTGGCTGTTGCTCACTGCTCTCCATTTTAGATTCAATCTTTCGCTTTCTCAGTTCAATATATTCAGGTGTTTCGTAACCACTAGGTAGTCCAGACATAATGCCTGATGGTGTGGCTAAACCTTTGTCTACTAGTGTAATATTATCACTAACATCATTAGTCACTTCTTTAGTCTCCTTGATTTCTTCTTCATCTTCTTCTTCTTCTTCTTCATATTCTTCTACATCAGTGTCGGAGTCTAGCTCTCCCCACATGCATTTGTCAATTTGCTCTTCAGCAACATATCCATTATTATCGTATAGATTACCAAATACATTTCCATAAAGAGGACGACCACGTTCATCTATAGGAGGCTTACCCCAACCACCAGCATGATAACCAAAAGAGCAACCTTCAGGGATGACCGCATTAAGACCAGGAATTTTAAGTGCTGGATAAGAAGGAGGTGGACCATAACGCTGCATAGCAATAAGCCATGGTGGAGGAACTTTGTGAGAATTATAACCTATTGGCATACCTAATGCAGTACGTAATTCAGCACTTAAGTCGCCTGGTTTTTTTTCTCTGAGTTTAACTTCGTGTTCTTTGCCTTCATAGTACAAGTCACCATGAAGTGTTAATCTTGGTTTCATTTGTAATTTAAAAAATGCATCATGCAATTTTTTGTAATCAATATCTATTTTTCCTATTTTAGGTTTAACTTTTTCTCTCATTTTATTTTTTAAGGATTTTTCAGCTTCTTTTTCTTGATGGACAGCTCTCATTTCCATGATACCAGTTTGTTTGATAAAATCAGGCAAATCATATAATGAATTTTCAATACCTCGTTTCCCTTGCAAATACTTACGCTTAAAGCACCAATGACGGGGTACTGGTACTGTATTACGATATGCTTTCAACTGTATTAAAAGATCAGGATCTCTAGCCATTACATCATGCATTTCTACAACATCAGGCCTAGAAACCAGTTGTTTAAGTTCTGCCACACTTAAACGAGACATTTTTTTAAGTTGTTTTTTTGACAGTTTGTCAGCGATCTTTGTCAGAATATTTTCATCCTTATCTTCTTCGTGATTATCATCTTCATGTTCAGGAAGCTTAGGTACTTTTTTCAGGTTTAAACTGGATAAAGTGTCTTCTTGAACACCAGCTTGTATCTGTTTTGATTCAGGAATTTTAAAATTCTCAAACACTTTAGCATATGATCTATACATAGGTAAAAGATTAAGTACACTTATTGATTCTTGTACATATTCAATTTCAATTTTATCTGATTTATCAGCTTTGTTTTTTTTATTAGAAGATGATAATTTTTCTTTTTTTTTTTGCTCAGTTTTTAATTTTTTCTTCATTTTTTTATTATACTTTTTCTTTCTTCTTTTAACTCTTTTACGGTCTTCTGTAGACAGTTTTAATACCACTTGTTTTTGTTTTTGTTTTTCTTCAGTTTTTTCCTGGTCATATTCTTCTTCGTTAATAATGTTAACAGTATTCATTAGAGCTTCATTAGATACTTGTTCAGTAACTGTATCAATAACACCTATTTGTTTTGCTCTTTCTTCATTGTAGTTTAACACTCGTTCAAGAGCTGGGGGAAGAGCAACATCCTCACCTGGAGGATACAGTAATTCCTCTTCAGGTTCATACATGATTGATCAGATGGGTCAGATGTACCTCTAGTAATAATTACTGTTTTACCATTTAAACGCCTAGAAATTATAAACATTACATTAGTTTGAATGAATAATTAATAACAATTTATTAGTTTGTACAATAAATAGAAAAATATCAATACCAGTAATAAACATTAATCCAACTACACAATAATTATGACCAAATAAATATTTTTTTACAATAAATTTTATGACTTGAAATGTAATTGTTATAATTAGAAAAATTGTCTACACAGTTTATTTTAAATGTATTTATACTTTTATTAAATGTAGTAAAAATAATTATAAACTGTAGGTATTATTACTTTATCAAATACTGACTGCAACCAGGATTGTACACAGTAAGAAATTAATCAGCACAGTATCACCACCTAAAAAAACATATATCAATTTATTATTTGAAAATGATTTTTTTCAAAAACTTTTAAATTATATTTTTAACTGCATTAGGTTGCATAGTTTAAAGGTTTAATTAATTTTGAAATATTTATGTAAGGCAAAAAATATAAGACATCATTTTGGTCTAGCTACCTAGTACCTATAGGTTATAATAATAAGAATATAAAAAATCTGTAAAACTTTGTTCCAAAGTTGTAGGGAAAATATCACAAAATTCAATTTTTCTGAAACATCCTATTTAAACAAAATAGTAAAAATTGAATAAGTATTAATTTTCAACAATGCTTGGTTTTTAATAATCAATATATTAATTTAATTAAAACTTCCCTATCATACTTACTTTTTAAGTTTTTACCCATGACCTACCAGACAAGGATTTACATAACACATCAGTGTTTATTTTTATTGAAATTTCAAATGCCCAAAGGCCCATAAACAACTCAATTTTTACACAAAATTTGAGTTGAGGTTGTTCAAATTTTTTGTTTTTTAGATTTGTATTGTACATGTGAAAACACAAATTTAAAAAAAAAAACTGTTAATCGATGGATAACTAAATTAGAAAAATTGTAAATAAATACAAATTAATAACAAACAATACAATAACTAACCACGATTATAATTGCTCCTATTATGTTTTAAAATAATATGGATAACAAATCCTTTACTGATACAAATTTTCTTTGATAAAAACAGCTAAATAATTTAAAATAATTTGTCTTTAACCAGTAGTATTGAAGAATTTTATATACTTACTCTATATTTTGTAGTGTACATGAGAATAGTCAGTTCACTTTATGAATTCCAGTTCTCAGATTTTCAAAACGTTTATACAAATGTTCACCTCAAGCTGAATTTAATATGTTTTTAGAATTCTTATCACTTCACTACATGAATTGGACCTAGTGAAGAGAAATATTGTTCTAAATTGATGTGAAATATATGTGTTCGATGAGGGAAGAATATTTGGTAGTTAGAAGTGAAAAAATGGTCATGCAATTATATAAGTTATAAAACAATAGGTACAGTGTTATAATATACTTCACTTATAATATTACTCAAGATTCATTATACAATTTTGATTGAATTGCAATTATATAAACTTCAGAATTCGACTTCATGGCTTGAGTAGTTTTATAAGTTTTGTGTTTTTGTTTTATGTTTTTATTGATTTATTAACCTAACACACACATCGTAACAGTAGATGTTTGGCAAGGAGGTTATACACAAGTGTAATATACTTACTTCTTTGTAATCATTATCAACAATATTTCAATTGTTTGTCAATAAATATAAAAAAAAAAATAACTGACACTACTGATGGTTGCGCCATTGTTTCAAAGAATTGTAATAACTCTATTAGAGCAATTATGACATTAAAATAGTTTATCTACCAAAATCTACTACCGATATTTTATTGTATGTAAAGTTAATAATAAGATGGAGAAAACAGATGTGTGTGTGGTATCTAAATAGAAAAGCATACAACTTGACTAATTTTTTATTAAAATATATTTGTATATGATGCATAGTATGTGAAGTATAATTAAATGTTTTCACAGTTATTTATTACTTTTATTGGTAAGAAATAAATAAATTCAAATAAATAACTTAACATATATTGTCTGCTATTGATATACTCAGCTACAAACAAAATTGTATTTTTGTAAACTAGGTGGAACTTCACACCAGTTTCTGAATCCCAAAGTATATATATATATATGATGGTGATTAATCAGTGGATTCAAATACTAGATAAAGAACAATTTACTTGTTAAGAATCTATCACTATTTATCTAAAAAAAAATTTTGTTTAAATCATTTTAATAAAAATGATTACAACTCTAGAAAAAAATGTTAAAAAGATTTGCAATTCCAGTTTTAAATTTTGGAAAGAAAATTATGGGTATTTACATATTATGTTCTAGATATTTTCTTTCTTTTTAATATGTATGAATAAAGTGTATATATGACAATCCTTAATCTGTCTAGATCGAAATGTCCATCAAGGGAGCAACAATAGTGATTATTTAATAATTTCAAGCATTAACATCAATTCATATATTTCTAGTAAATATATATATCAAAATTCAATTACAATTATTTAAAATAAAATGTTAATTCTCAGAAAATTAAATTTTTAATTATCGATATAGATAGCTCTTATTCTGTGATTTAATGCAGTCAGTCTAAGATGTATGTATAATGCAAATAATGACTTATAAATAATAATCATTCGAAACCAAAATGTTGTTTCTAGAAGCAATAGTATTGATTATTTTTTAAATTCTTTTTTAGGATATTTAAATGAAACTTTCATGTAATTTATATGTGTAATTTATTAATTCTAGATGATAGTATTGAGAACAAATAGGTTTTTTAACTGTGATCATTCAACTTTGAATAAAAACCATGATCATATAATGAGTAAGCAGAACTAATATTTTTAATTAACATATGATTTATTCTCGTTTATATTTACTAGTTTGCTTAATTATGTTCTATGCTTTTTACATTTATCATTTAATATCTGCAGCTTTGGGAAATGCCTATAGCTACAGAAATAATATTGGAATAAAAAAAATAAATTCAAAGAAACTTGATTTTGGTTAATACATTTAAAATTCATAAACTTCAAAATTATTTTTTTTATTTTTCTTAAAATTGTCTTGTGATTTTCATATAGGTTTGTTATTGCAAATGGTATCAAAGGAGCCAACTAATTGACTTTAAAATGTACATTTCTTTATTCAGACAGTGTGTGGTTAAACAAAAAATTTTGTTGTTCTAGAAAACAGTGTGACATGTTTAAAAATATAATAACATCTGCATCAAAATTTCTGGGGAAAAATGTTAAGCCTAAAATATCATCTCAAATTACCACAGCAGTTTCCATTTTCACAAAACTACAGTTACGAGAAATCAATACTAAAGTCAGCGATGGTTCATATTGGAAGACAAATTATTAAGTTTATTTCTATACAAACTATACAATATCATAGAATATTATTTAAAATCTTTACTTTACCAAAATAAAAGTCATTAACAAATTTACTTACTAGAATTCCAATTAGTACTTGTGTCCATAAACCCAAATTAAGTTTTGACAATAATAAATATGTAAATTGAATGAAAATAATAAGATAACTACTATTATATAATGAAGTGAGCTGAAGTACATATTTTATAATAGAATGATAATATTAGCCTGTGATGCAAAGTGGCTTTGAAGAATATGATATTTCTAGGACATAACAATTTACAGACCATGCCCTAGTTTTTGTGATCTGAAGAGTAACAAAAAAATACAAGTAGCCAATATTTTCTACATTTTGTAAAAGCATCAGCCATATAATTCATTAAAACAAATTAAAAAGGTTGTACAGACAATTCATTCAATTTTTCTTAGAGTAATTTCTATCATATGCAACCAAGGGACAAATGAACATGCTTCAATTGATATTTTAAAAACTGATACAAAAGCCAATTGTTTGAGACAAAATACAAATTAAAATTATATATTTTATGAAATTTATTGTAGTACAATTAAGTCATTGATCAAATTAATGATTTGATAAATACAAATTTTTATTTATTAAAAATGATAAGTCATGAAGTTAGTTGGAAACATATTTTAGACCTCCAAAAACTAGATGAAACAGAGATGTTAAATTATTACTAAGATTAACTGCAGAACATACCAAAGAAAATTAAAGTATTCAAGTATTAACGATTAAAGAGTATCTTAGTGTAACTATAATAGTGTTAATATTTTCTTTAATTTTATATTTCAGCTAGAAACATTTTTAATAAAACCACTCACTACACTGCTATAATTTATTTGTTTTTTGATAAGTTGTTTGATTCAAACAACTGAGTGTTTTAATAAAATAAGAGCACTTTTAGAACTTTTGTTAAAACTAATTCTTATCATAAGTTATAGATTGGCTCTTAAAAGGTTCTCGAAAAAAAAAAGTACACCCAACATTAAAAACTTGATGTGTTATTTTATATTTTTCATTAAGATTTTAATGATATTTTGTCTCTATCATGCAAAAAGTGATCAAGTGAAAATTATTAATACTTTATTTTTAAATAGGAAAATTGTATTTAATTTAACCACTTTTTGCATGAGAACTTTGTTTTAATGTTGTTAAAATATGTTGACAGATTTCCATAAGGTATACAAATTTTTGATAAATAGTGAGGTGAATTCAATTCTCTTAAGAACTTTTAATCAAAACCCTTTAGAAAATTTCTTTAGAGATTTGAGAGCCTTAGGTTACACTAGTAACCACATCCCAACTTGTAGTACTTTTACATATTCTTACAAAACCTTGATTATAAACAATCTGATGTCAGCCTACTAGTCAGGTATTTATTGAAGAGGAAGATATAGGTGAAGGCTGTTTTATCCTCTACAAAAAATTATATTACTAGTTATGTTTTAAAAAAACTTAATATTATTCTTTTAAAGATTTTAAAACATGTTAAAGTTAAATTTGTTCTACATCATTAACTTAAGATCATGATATAACATTATCCGAGTAAGAAATATTTGTTGGAATACCTTAATA